CATTTATCTTTGCTTATTTGAGCTGTTCTTGCCATAATATGGACTTGGTCTTTTACCAAATAGGGCTATCTTCTGTATACCCTCCCTACCTTGTCACAACACAACTGATTGGCACAAACGCATTAAGAAGGAAAGATATTCCACAAATTAACTTTTAACAAGGCACATCTGTTAATTGAAATGCATTCCAGGTGACTACCTCATGAAGCTGGTTGAGAGAATGCCAAGAGTGTGCAAAGCTGTCATCAAGGCAAAGGGTGGCTATTTGAAGAATCTCAAATATAACATATAGTCCCGTGTAGCTCAGTTGGTAGAGCATGGCGCTTGCAACGCCAGGGTTGTGGGTTTGTTTCCCACAGGGGGCCAGTATGAAAATGTATGCACTCACTAACTGTAAGTCGCTCTGGATAAGAGCGTCTGCTAAATGACTTAAATGTTAAATGTAATATTTTGATTTATTTAACACTTTTTTGGTTACTACATCATATCGACCCAGAACCTATCGGATTTTCTGCCAGAATCACTGAGTCACTGGACCTTTTTAACACTGGATAATTGCAACTAGCTAGCTGCAACCAAATTAACGTTGTTGTTGGCTAATCAGCCTTGAGCTAGCCTTGAGTCAGGTACATCTCCCGGCTATCTACCTCTCTGTCAACCGGACGGGTCCTCCTAGAGTCAACATGGAGCCTCGCCGATCCATCACGACTGGTCTGCCGACGTAATCGTCTGTGGTTTCAACAGGCTTCCCGTTGCGACGACCACGAAGATCCATCTGCTAGCCCCGGACCGCTAGCACACGCAAACGACAGCCGTGCTTCCTGTTCGCTGTGCTGTAGTACTAATTCGAACTGCTCTCGGACTCACATATTGCTGTTCACTGGACCTTATGATCACTCAGCTGCACAGCTGATGCCTGCTGGACTGTTCCTTTACACGGTACCCTGTCCTGTTTATCTGTTTAGCCTCAGCCCAAACTTTATCACCATTACCAGTTGTTGTCTTAGCTCTCTCTAATAACACCTGTGATTGCTTTATGCCTCTCCCATGTCAATATGCCTTGCCTATTGCTGTTCCAGTTAGTTCTTATTATACCATTTAACTGTAGAACCCCAAGTCCCTCAAACTGCCTCAAATAGTTCCTTTGTTCCACCCCCCATACACTCCGAGACCGGCTCAATCGGTGCCTCCAGTGATGCTATCTCTTTCATTGTTACCCAACACTTAGGTTTACCTCCACTGTACTCATATCCTTCCATATCCTTGTCTGTACATAATGCCCTGTATCTATTCTACAACGCCCGGAAATCTGCCCCCTTTATTCTCTGTAGCCAACGCACTAGAAGACCAGTTCTTAAAGCCTTTAGCCGTATCCTTATTCTAGTCCTCCTCTGTTCCTCTGGTGATGTAGAGGCTAACCCAGGCCCTGCAGCCCCCAGTATCACTCCTACTCCCCAGGAGCTATCATTTGTTGACTTCTGTAACCGTAAAAGCCTTGGTTTTCTGCAAGTTAACATCAGAAGCCTCCTTCCTAAGTTTGTTATTCACTGCGTTAGCACACTCCGCCAACCTTGATGTTCTAGCAGTGTCTGAATCCTGGCTTAGGAAGGCCACCAAAAATTCTGAAATGTCCATCCCCAACTACAACATTTTCCTTCTAGATAGAACTGCCAAAGGGGGTGGAGTTCCAATCTACTGTAGAGAGAGCCTGCAGAGCTCTATCATACTATCCAGGTTTGTGCCCAAACAGTTTGAGCTTCTACTTCTAAAAATCCACCTTTCCAGAAATAAGTCTCTCACTGTTGCCGCTTGCTACAGACCCCCCTCAGCCCCCAGCTGTGCCCTGGACACCATATGTGAATTGATTGCCCCCCATTTATCCTCAGAGTTCGTACTGCTTGGTGACCTAAATTGGGATATGCTTAACACCCCGGCCATCCTACAATCCAAACTAGATGCCCTCAATCTCACACATATCATCAAGGAACCTACCAGGTACAACCCTAAATCCGTAAACATGGGCACCCTCATAGATATCATCCTGACTAACTTACCCTCTAAATACACCTCCGCTGTCTTCAACCAGGATCTCAGCGATCACTGCCTTATTGCCTGCGTCCGTAACGGGTCCGCGGTCAAACGACCACCCCTCATCACTGTCAAATGCTCCCTAAAACACTTTAGCGAGCAGGCCTTCCTAATTGACCTGGCCCAGGTATCCTGGATGGATATCAATCTCATTCCGTCAGTAGAGGATGCCTGGTTGTTCTTTAAAAGTAATTTCCTCTCAATCTTAAATAAACATTCCCCATTCAAAAAATACAGAACTAAGAACAGATATAGCCCCTGGTTCTCCTCAGACTTGACTGCCCTTGACCAGCACAAAAACATCCTGTGGCGCGTACTGCATTAGCATCGAATAGCCCCCGCGATATGCAACTTTTCAGGGAAGTTAGGAACCAATAAACACAAGCAGTTAGGAAAGCAAAGGCTAGCTTTTTCAAACAGAAATGTGCCTCCTGTAGCACTAACTTCAAAAAGTTTTGGGACACTGTAAAGTCCATGGAGAATAAGAGCACCTCCTCCCAGCTGCCCACTGCAATGAGGCTAGGAAACACTATCACCACCGATAAATCTACAATAATCGAGAATTTCAACAAGCATTTTGCTATGGCTGGCCATGCTTTCCACCTGGCTACCACTACACTGGCCACCAGCTCTGCACCCTCCGCTTCTCCTTCACACAAATTCAGACAGCTGATGTTCTGAAAGAGCTGCAAAATCTGGACCCCTACAAATCATCTGGGCTAGACAATCTGGACCCTTTCTTTCTAAAACTAGCCGCCGAAATTGTCGCAACCCCTATTACTAGCCTGTTCAACCTCTCTTTCGTAACGTCTGAGATCCCCAGAGATTGGAAAGCTGCCACGGTCATCCCCCTCTTCAGAGAGGGTGACACTCTAGATCCAAACTGTTACAGACCTATATCCATCCTGCCCTGCCTTTCGAAAGTTTTTGAAAGCCAAGTTAACATACAGATCACCGACCATTTCGAATCCCACCGTACCTTCTCCGCTATGCAATCCGGTTTCCGAGCTGGTCATGGGTGCACCTCAGCCATGCTCAAGGTCCTTAACGATATTATTAACCGCGATCGATAATAGACAGTACTGTGCAGCCGTCTTCATCGACCTGGCCAAGGCTTTCGACTCTGTCAACCACCGCATTCTTATTGGCAGACTAAATAGCCTTGGTTTCTCAAATGACTGCCTCACCTGGTTCACCAACTACTGCTCAGATAGCGTTCAATGTGTCAAATCGGAGGGCCTGTTGTCTGGACCTATGGCAGTCTCTATGGGGGTGCCACAGGGTTCAATTCTTGAGCTGACTCTTTTCTCTGTGTATATCAATGATGTCGCTCTTGCTGCTGGTGACTCTCAGATCCACCTCTACGCAGACGACACCATTTTGTATACATCTGGCCCTTCATTGGACACTGTGTTAACAAACCTCCAAACGAGCTTCAATGCCATACAACACTCCTTCAGTAGCCTCCAACTGCTCTTAAACACTAGTAAAACTAAATGCATGCTCTTCAATCGAACGCTGCTGGCACCCGCCCACCCGACTAGAATCACTACTCTCGACGGTTCTGACCTAGAGTATGTGGACAACTACAAAAACCTAGGTGTCTGGTTAGACTTTAAACTCTCCTTCCAGACTCACATTAAGCATCTCCAATCCAAAGTTAAATCTAGAATCGGCTTCCTATTTCGCAACAAAGCCCTTCTTCACTCATGCTGCCAAACATGCCCTCGTAAAACTGACTATCCTACCGATCCTTGACTTCGGCGATGTCATTTACAAAATAGCCTCCAACACTCTACTCAGCAAATTGGATGTAGTCTATCACAGTGCCATCCGTTTTGTCACCAAAGCCCCATATACTACCCACCACTGTGACCTGTACGCTCTTGTTGGCTGGTCCTCACTACATATTCGTCGCCAAACCCACTGGCTCCAGGCCATCTATAAATCACTGCTAGGCAAACCCCCGCCTTATCTTAGCTCATTGGTCACCATAGCAACACCCACCCGTAGTATGCGCTCCAGCAGGTATATCTCACTGGTCATCCCCAAAGCCAACACCCCCTTTGGCCACCATTCCTTCCAGTTCTCTGCTGCCAATGACTGGAACGAATTGCAAAAATATCTGAAGCTGGAGACTCTTATCTCCCTCACTAACTTTAAGCATCAGTTGTAATAGCACCTTACATATCACTGCACCTGTACACAGCCCATCTGAAATTAGCCCACCCAACTACCTCATCCCCATATTGTTATTTATTTTGCTCATTTGCACCCCAGTATCTCTATTTGCACATCATCTCTTGCACATCTAGCATTCCAGTGTTAATACTAATTGTAATTATTTTGCACTATGGCCTATTTATTGCCTTACCTCCATAACTTGCTACATTTGAACACACTGTATATATATATTATATTTTCTGTTGTATTTTTGACTTTATGTTTTGTTTTACCCCATATGTAACTCTGTGTTGTTGTTTTTATCGCACTGCTTTGCTTTATCTTGGCCAGGTCGCAGTTGTAAATGAGAACTTGTTCTCAACTGGCTTACCTGGTTAAATAAAGGTTAAATAAAAAATAAAAATAAAATTCCATATGTGTTATTTCATAGTTTTGATGTCTTCACTATTATTCTACAATGTAGAAAATAGTAAAAATAAAGAGAAACCCTTGAACGAGTAGGTGTTCTAAAACCTTTGACTGGTACTGAATAAAATGACATACATCATTGCACGCAAACAACAGAGGAAATCTACACCCCTTTATGCAGTAGACTATCAAGCATAATATATACATTTGTATAAGTGATCTGGGTATGATATTATTATGTCACTGTACGTGTTTCCACAAGAAAGATTCATATCACATAAAAACAATAGGTTCTCATTACTTTTTACCTCTTTTCCAGATTTATTGGCTCAGCTAAGATCTCTCTACAAGACCTGGCTCATGGTCACACCAAGTCCTTCCCAGCAAAGAACCTGTCCCTGGTCAATGAGAAGAAACAGGATACTGGGGTGAGTTTCTCTATGGCTACACACTTGCGTTACTAAGAATTAACAGCTTCAAGAATTAACAAGATTTATAAACATGTATAAGTGTTTACAATTGGCTTATTCTTAAATGTAAATATGAAGTGTAACCGATAATAATTTATTGTAGTGACATTGTCAAGAGGTTCGGTGCTTTTGGCTTAATGGCTAATGTGTTGGGTTGAAAGTCGCTGGACCCGGGTTCGAGTCCCGGTCAGAACTATCACACAAATTCCCTACATTGATGTAAGAAGTGTGATGGCGCCCATAAGGTCATCGGAGAGGCGTGTACACATGAAGGACTTGGAATAAAGAAGCTTGGACAATGCTCTCCTGAAGGGAGGGGCTAGTGTAGCGAGTAGCGACCTTAACCCAACACCTAGCGACATCGTCAAGAGGTTCTTGTCTCTTGGTGTAACTGCTAAGGTGTTGGGTTGATAGTTGCTGGACTCAGGTCTGAGTCCCGGTCGGAACTAACCCACGCATTTGCTACAATATCATAACTAGGTTAAAACTTCTTGACCATTTATGGCAATTAAAGTTGTCAGTACTGTAAGTATTTGCAAGTGTGATACATTGTGTTGAAGGAGCATTTTGACATTTAATCCCATCTGTTTTTTAGGCGACCATTAATTTGATGATAGGGTATGAGCCGCCAGCTAACACCACTCCTAACCTTAACAATCAAACTGATGAAGACCAGTCGTATGGGGACACAGGTCAGTTTAACATAACAAATATGTGGCACATCATCTCTTTGTTTTGGTTAAGCAAATGGTCTCCTTCTCTCTTGAGATCAGTTCCAATGCCTTTGACATGCTAATAATGTAAATCAACTCTTATACATGTAGTTTTAGAAAAGTATGCAGCTATCTCAGTGGTATGTTCGGGTTTGGTATTGCAGTGGAAGCCTGATTCCCAGATTTGTTTGTGTGTTAGCCAACTCCTCTGTCGTTCAATATCATGTAATGAGCAGTTGACTAAAGTACAAACAGATCTGGTAGCCAGGGTTGTGTTCATTAGGGCACACAACAGGAAACTTTTGAAAACGGAAAACAAAAGCTTGCATTTCTTATTGGACAAGTCCAGGTAGTCCCTACCTGTTTCAGAGGTTTTTTCTCTCTCCATTAGGTCTCTAATGAATACAACCCAGGTAACCAGGCTAGTGAGGTGGAGTGATGTTGTGGTTTTAGGCTTTGGTTGGTAGGAAGTATTGGAGTGGTACTGGCTTGTCTGTGTTCATTACACCAGTGAAAGGCTGCTTGCTGTTTATGGAAATGGTGGATGCAAATGAACAAGACAAACAACACACACAGCCTTTTGCAGACTCTGCCACAAGGCAACATAATCAATAGAACATATTTTCTGGTATATTCCATTGGTTGCTCGCTTTTGGAGTCAGTTCCAGGAATGGTTGTTATGTCATAATATCAGGTTACAGATGGACCTGCAAACTGTATTGTTAGGTGATCTGAAAAAAATAGATCAGTCAATGGGAAATATAATTTTACTCCTGGGTAAAGTCTTTATTTTTAGGGCTATATTGGTAGAAATGTTACAAATAGGGAGGTTCAGGACCCTCGTAGTAAAATGAAAATTGCAAAAGGAAATAGCAAAATGGCATTATATTGGGAAAGATGGGTTAATCTGTGGACATCGGAGAGTTGGAGTTCAGATTGGATGGTGGATTGGTTGCTGTGGGTGAAAATCCAGCACTTGAAGAAAGAGGAAATTAGGAATATACCTGTATGTCTAATTCTTTAACTACAGGTACCGTAGATGTGAGCAAAAATAGCTGTAAGTAGCAGTAGAAGTATTGTTGTCTGTTAATTTACTCCAATCAGGGTAGGGATGGTAGGGTATGGAAAAAAAGTATATGCAGTATATATGTATTTTTTAAATACACACAAGTACTCTCAGCAGACAATGTGCTGAACACAAGTCACCTGTCGGTAGAGAATAGTGTGTCATCCTGTGTTTAAATGCTTCCAAGCAATACGCTTGGTTTTCACATAGAGAAAGAAAGGGGATGTGAAAGGAAAGTATGATGTGTTTGTGTGTGTGTGCTTGTGTGTGCACGTTCTGGCTTCCCAGGTGGGGGGGAGGAAGGGGAGGATGGGGAGGAGGTATCCCTCGGGGGTCAGGTGGGGACCCCTGGAGCTCCACCCACACCTGGCCAGCCTGGTAACCCCAACCAGAGGCCTGTCCGGACCAGCCGCAAGAGACACCGGGCCCTAGCCAACAAGCCCCAGGACTTCCAGGTAGGGTACATAGCTACCACATGAAGTGCATGTAAAAAGTTTAAAGTATCCTCCTCTCCTCATCTCTCTTTCCTTCATTTGCACTGATCTGAAACCAAAGGACAGATGAAAGCAGTATGGTGGATGGTGGCTTTCACCCTCCAATTCTTTCAGATCAGTGGGAGAGGAGAATAGGAAAGGACTATTGAGATGCAGCCCTGGATGGTAGTATGGGGCCCTGTTTAAATACTTATGAAATGCGTCCTTCATCCCATTCTATCTTACTTGAGGTAATCACTAATCTGTATAGGTATGAGAGGTGACAGCAATATGATAACTATGGATTCACCAATTCAATCACTAACAGATCAGTAATTGCCTCAAGGAAGGAAGGAAAAAAGGAAGTAGATATGCATTTTGTAGTAGAACAGCGCCTGCAGGTAAATAAATTAAAGGCCTAATTAAGGATTTTTGTGTTTGTTGAAGTCGCTCCGTTTTGGTTAAACTCTGTCACACTGTTGTCTTCAATGACCAGATTCGTGTTCGAGTTATCGAGGGCCGACAGTTGCCGGGCAACAACATCAAACCGGTTGTCAAAGTGAATGTGTGCGGACAGACCCACAGAACCAGGATCAGACGAGGAAACAACCCCTTCTTTGATGAGGTAATCTCTTCATACATCTATGGTTTTAAACTGCCCTTACACTCCAAAATCAAAACCACTAAGGCAAAGTTTCACTTCTCTGATTGCACTGAAGAGAATCTTCGTTCCAGTATTTCATCTTTTGATTGATTGGCTTTTTCACCCCTTTAAACGCTTGTCTTCTTCTTCTTCTTCTTCTTCTTCTTCTTCTTCTTCTTCTTCTTCTTCTTCTTCTTCTTCTTCTTCTTCGTCTCAGTGATATGTTTGAGTAAATCTAAAGCAGAATCCTCAGTTGGATACATCATCTATCACCCTGTCACGATCGTCTACGAAATGAGTGGACCAAGGCGCAGCGTGCGATACGAACATGACTTTAATTGGTAAAGTACACGAAACAAAACAAAACACGATCGTAAAGTCCACAGTGACAATGACTGACAAGGAACAAAAACCCACAACCCTAAGGTGAACACTGACAGTTTAAATATGGCTCCCAATCAGAGATAACGAGCCGACAGCTGACACTCGTTACCACTGATTGGGAGTCACACGACCAAACAAGGAAACAACCAAAATACAACACAACCAATACCAACCACAACCAAATGAACACACCCTGGCTCAAAATACACAGTCCCGGAGCCAGAGCGTGACAGTACCCCCCCCTAAAGGCGCGGACTCCGACCGCGCCTACACCCCAAATAGGGGAGGGCTGGGTGGGTGTTGCTCCTCGGAGGCGGCTCCGGCTCCGGGCTTGACCACCACCCTTCTTCAATCCCCCCGTAGCGCCCCCGGTCCGATCTGACCCAGCTGGTAGGATCTGGACTGACGACGCGCACCCCTGGCTTGGCGCGTGAGGCAGGAACGGACCGGACCTGGCCGACGATACGCACCCTAGGCTTGATGCGTGGATTCGGAACGGGCCTCACCAGGCTGACGACTTGCATCCCTGGCTTGGTGCGAGTAGCAGGAATGGGCTGGATCAGGCTGACGGCTCGCACCCTTGGCTTGGTGCGAGTAGCAGGAACGGGCTGGACCAGGCCGACGACTCGCACCCCTGGCTTGGTGCGAGTAGCAGGAACGGGCTGAACCAGGCTGACGACTCGCACCCTTGGCTTGGTGTGAGTAGCAGGAACGGGCTGGACCAGGCTGACGACTCGCACCCTTGGCTTGGTGCGAGTAGCAGGAACAGGCTGGACCAGGCCGACGACTCGTACCCCTGGCTTTGTGCGTGGAGCAGGAACAGGCCGGGCTGGGCTGGCGACGCACACCGTAGGCTTTGTGCGTAGAGCAGGGACAGGCCGGGCTGGGCTGGCAACGCACCCCGTAGGCTTTGTGCGTGGAGCAGGAACAGGCCGGGCTGGGCTGGCGACGCACCCCGTAGGCTTTGTGCGTGGAGCAGGAACAGGCCGGGCTGGGTTGGCGACGCACCCCGTAGGCTTTGTGCGTGGAGCAGGAACAGGCCGGGCTGGGCTGGCGACGCACCCCGTAGGCTTTGTGCGTGGAGCAGGAACAGGCCGGGCTGGGCTGGCGACGCACCCCGTAGGCTTTGTGCGTGGAGCAGGGACAGGCCGGGCTGGGCTGGCAACGCACCCCGTAGGCTTTGTGCGTGGAGCAGGAACAGGCCGGGCTGGGCTGGCGACGCACCCCGTAGGCTTTGTGCGTGGAGCAGGAACAGGCCGGGCTGGGCTGGCGACGCACCCCGTAGGCTTTGTGCGAGAGGCAGGAACAGGCCGGACCGGGCTGGAGACGCGCACCGTCCATTTGGTGCGAGGGGCCGTAACAGGCCGGACCGTACTGGGGACACACACCACTGGCTCTACTCCGGGAACTGGAACGGGCCGGACCGGACTGGTAACACACCCCAGTACCTCTCGCCGTGCCTCTAAACCTCCTTTCCCTACTTTGACCAGTGGCCCCCGTAACCTGGTGGCCTTTTGAATTCGCCCCTTCTCTGCCTCCGTCAGCCCCGTCGTCCATGCCCTGTGCCCCCCCCCTAAAAAATTATTGGGGGTGCCTCTCGTCCCTCCGACGCTGCTCCCACATCCAGGCTGCCGATTCCTGGACACGCTGTTTGGTCCTTTGATGGTGGGTTTTTCTGTCACGATCGTCTACGAAATGAGTGGACCAAGGCGCAGCGTGCGATACGAACATGACTTTAATTGGTAAAGTACACGAAACAAAACAAAACACGATCGTAAAGTCCACAGTGACAATGACTGACAAGGAACAAAAACCCACAACCCTAAGGTGAACACTGACAGTTTAAATATGGCTCCCAATCAGAGATAACGAGCCGACAGCTGACACTCGTTACCACTGATTGGGAGTCACACGACCAAACAAGGAAACAACCAAAATACAACACAACCAATACCAACCACAACCAAATGAACACACCCTGGCTCAAAATACACAGTCCCGGAGCCAGAGCGTGACACACCCTTGACCTCTCACATGCATTTTCTCAACCTTTCCTAGTATACTATACAATTGCTACAGTATGTCTGTATGAAGTTCCTTCAAAATCAAGAGTATAGAAAGCTATGTAAAATGGTAATGGTTATGCCTAACTCTCTACTATGTACATAAATAAACAATGAAAATACTGTATATATCAACATATTTATAAACCCTCTCCACAGGTTTTCTTCTTCAATGTCAACATGCTGCCTTCAGAGCTTTTAGATGACTATATCAGTATTCGGGTAAGTACAACACTCCCTCTCAGACTGGGTATAGTCTGTATCTTTATACAGTGTGTTCACGAGTTCGGCTTCTCTCCATCTGACGAACATGTCGGAAGGGGTTGTAGTTGATGGAGTATGGTAAGAGGGTTTTGGCGTGGACAGTGGACTGAGAGGCCAGAACTCGGTCAGGGATCGGGGTTGGTAGCTGGCTTCCCAGCAGGATCAGCCCCCAGTCGTGGACTAAGGTTGTGCTGAGCCTGCTGGCAGAGCCAACCCCCGGCCGTAAGCCAAGGTTGTGTGAACATGGATCTGATGAACATGCAGGAAGGGTAGAGCTGACCCGCCATTGTGCAGGATGCCTGGAGGGTGAGTCGATGGGGAGGCCAGACCCTGGTCGGTGATCTGGGTTGGTAGCTGGCCTCCCAGCAGGATCAGCCCCCAGGCATAAGCCAAGGTTGTGCTGGCCCCCCTGCCCTTATGCAAGAGAGACTTTCTGACAATGAGGTCGCTACTGGTCCGAGTCACCACTGGTCAGAGTGGAATCGCTGCGTGGAGAAACTGCGTGTGAGAGAAGATGGGCGCGTGTGGGTGGCACATCTGAGGAAGGCCGTGTGATGGCTGCCTGGCGGAGCAGGAGGATCTGTTCCGTCTCAGCGTGGTGAGACACGTGTGGGGAAGGCCATGTGAGGGCCGTACGGTGGAAGCGGGAGGCTCTGTTGTGGGGAAGGCCATGTGATGGCTGTATGGTGGAAGCGGGAGACTCTGTTCCGTCTCGCCATGGCAAGACGCTGTGGGGAAGGCCATCTGATGGCCGTACAATGGAAGCGGGAGACTCTGTTCTTTCTCCCCCCCGGACGTGCTACCTTGTCCCAGACCTGCTGTTTTCGAACGCTCTCTCTCTCTCTCTATCTCTCTATCTACACCTCCTGTCTCGACCTCTGAATGCTCGGCTATGAAAAGCCAACTGAAATGTACTCCTGAGGTGCTGACCTGTTGCACCCTCTACAACCACTGTGATTATTATTTGACCCTGCTGGTCATCTATGAGAATTTGAACATCTTGAAGAACGATCTGACCTTAATGGCCATGTACTCCTATAATCTCCACCTTGCACAGCCAGAAGAGGACTGGCCTCCCCTCAGAGCCTGGTTCCTCTCTAGGTTTCTTCCTAGGTTCCTGCCTTTCTAAGTAGTTTTTTCTAGCCACGTGCTTCTACATCTGCATTGCTTGCTGTTTGGGGTTTTAGGCTGGGTTTCTGTATAACACTTTGTGACATCTGCTGATGTAAAAAGGGCTTTATGAATACATTTGATTGGATGTCATGGAACGAGCTGGTGTTCTTAATGTTCAAACCTTTTAAAACTCCTTGATTGTGGAGCATTATATATAAACTATGAAGCATTTCAGAAACTAGGGGCTGGCTTTGTTTCAACATCACTAATCATCTATATCTATCTATTGATCTGCAGGTCTATGATTCCTACTCCCTCAGAGCAGACAGTCTAATAGGAGAGTTCAAGGTGACATATACATTTAAATATCCTAATTTACAAAAAGTGCATTTCATTTAGTTATTTACAGAGCAATATATCAGTTATATCCAATCTATTATGTTTGCATGTCATAACAATGACAGAAAACATTGGATAAATCACATAGATCCTTTGTTCAAACATGGTATGGCTACAATGCACACTACTACACTGTATTTATACAGTATTGAATATATTTCTGTAATCATCCTTCCAGGCAAAAACCTCATTATCCATATTTGGTTGATATTTTATTGAGTTGTCAACAAACATAAATTGGTTGAAATATGGTTAAAATCAGTTGTGTATTGTATCCGTAACCAGACTTTCTTTTTATTTTATCAGTTGGATGTTGGGTACATCTACGACGAACCTGGTAAGTTCCTCTTCACAGAAGAGTGATAAAACAAAGAAAGTATTATCTTGATCTTCAATTCTCTTCAAAGACACGTGTGTGTGTGTGTGTGTGTCTGTCTGTGTGTCTGGTATGTGTGTATTCATATGGTCAACAGCCCATGCCATAATGAGGAAGTGGCTTCTCCTGAGTGAACCTGACGACTCTAGCTCGGGGTCCAAAGGTTACCTGAAGGTCAGCCTGGTGATCGTGGGGACAGGAGACGAGCCACCGGTACGACTGCTGTGTCACTATGCTATGTCACTTTACACCTCACCTGTCTGTCTCTACAGTGAGGGAAAAAAGTATTTGATCCCCTGCTGATTTTGTACGTTTGCCCACTGACAAAGAAATGATCAGTCTATAATTTTAATGGTAGGTTTATTTGAACAGTGAGAGACAGAATAACAACAACAAAATCCAGAAAAACGCATGTCAAAAATGTTATAAATTGATTTGCATTTTAATGAGGGAAATAAGTATTTCACCCCCTCTCAATCAGAAAGATTTCTGGCTCCCAGGTGTCTTTTTATACAGGTAACGAGCTGAGATTAGGAGCACACTCTTAAAGGGAGTGCTCCTAATCTCAGCTTGTTACCTGTATAAAAGACACCTGTCCACAGAATCAATCAATCTATCAGATTCCAAACTCTCCACCATGGCCAAGACCAAAGAGCTCTCCAAGGATGTCAGGGACAAGATTGTAGACCTACGCAAGGCTGGAATGGGCTACAAGACCATCGCCAAGCAGCTTGGTGAGAAGGTGACAACAGTTGGTGCGATTATTCGCAAATGGAAGAAACACAAAATAACTGTCAATCTCCCTTGGCCTGGGGCTCCATGCAAGATCTCACCTCGTGGAGTTGCAATGATCATGAGAACAGTGAGGAATCAGCCCAGAACTACAGGGACAGGACAACTTCACTGCATCAAAGGGACGACAGACGGGGCCATGTACCGTCAAATCTTGGGTGAGAACCTCCTTCCCTCAGCCAGGGCATTGAAAATGGGTCGTGGATGGGTATTCCAGCATGACAATGACACAAAACACACGGCCAAGGCAACAAAGGAGTGGCTCAAGAAGAAGCACATTAAGGTCCTGGAGTGGCCTAGCCAGTCTCCAGACATTAATCCCATAGAAAATCTGTGGAGGGAGCTGAAGGTTCAAGTTGCCAAACGTCAGCCTCGAAACCTTAATGACTTGGAGAAGATCTGCAAAGAGGAGTGGGACAAAATCCCTCCTGAGATGTGTGCAAACCTGGTGGCCAACTACAAGAAACGTTTGACCTCTGTGATTGCCAACAAGGGTTTTGCCACCAAGTAATAAGTCATGTTTTGCAGAGGGGTCAAATACTTATTTCCCTCATTAAAATGCAAATCTATTGATAACATTTCTGACATGCGTTTTTCTGGTTTTATTTGTTGTTATTCTGTCTCTCATTGTTCAAATAAACCTACCATTCAAATTATAGACTGATCATGTCTTTGTCAGTGGGCAAACGTACAAAATCAGCAGGGGATCAAATACACTGCTCAAAAAAATAAAGGGAACACTAAAATAAAACATCCTAGATCTGAATGAATGAAATAATCTTATTAAATACTTTTTTCTTTACATAGTTGAATGTGCTGACAACAAAATCACACAGAATTTATCAATGGAAATCAAATGTATCAACCCATGGAGGTCTGGATTTGGAGTCACCCATCAAAATTAAAGTGGAAAACCACACTACAGGCTGATCCAACTTTGATGTAATGTCCTTAAAACAAGTCAAAATGAGGCTCAGTAGTGTGTGTGGCCTCCACGTGCCTGTATGACCTCCCTACAACGCCTGGGCATGCTCCTGATGAGGTGGCGGATGGTCTCCTGAGGGATCTCCTCCCAGACCTGGACTAAAGCATCCGCCAACTCCTGGACAATCTGTGGTGCAACGTGGCGTGGGTGGATGGAGCGAGACATGATGTCCCAGATGTGCTCAATTGGATTCAGGTCTGGGGAACGGGCAGGCCAGTCCATAGCATCAATGCCTTCCTCTTGCAGGAACTGCTGACACACTCCAGCCACATGAGGTCTAGCATTGTCTTGCATTAGGAGGAACCCAGGGCCAACCGCACCAGCATATGGTCTCACAAGGGGTCTGAGGATCTCATCTTGGTACCTAATGGCAGTCAGGCTACCTCTGGCGAGCACATGGAGGGCTGTGCGGACCCCAAAGAAATGTCACCCCACACCATGACTGACCCACCGCCAAACCGGTCATGCTGGAGGATGTTGCAGGCAGCAGAACGTTCTCCACGGCGTCTCCAGACTCTGTCACGTCTGTCACGTGCTCAGTGTGAACCTGCTTTCATCTGTGAAGAGCACAGGGCGCCAGTGGCGAATTTGCCAATCTTGGTGTTCTCTGGCGAATGCCAAACATGTTGGGCTGTAAGCACAACCCCCACCTGTGGACGTCGGGCCCTCATACCACCCTCATGGAGTCTGTTTCTGACCGTTTGAGCAGACACATGCACATTTGTGGCCTGCTGGAGGTCATTTTGCAGGGCTCTGGCAGTGCTCCTCCTGCTCCTCCTTGCACAAAGGCGGAGGTAGCAGTCCTGCTGCTGGGTTGTTGCCCTCCTACGGCCTCCTCCACGTCTCCTGATGTACTGGCCTGTCTCCTGGTAGCGCCTCCATGCTCTGGACACTACGCTGACAGACACAGCAAACCTTCTTGCCACAGCTCGCATTGATGTGCCATCCTGGATGAGCTGCACTCCGTCTCATGCTACCACTAGAGTGAAAGCACCGCCAGCATTCAAAAGTGACCAAAACATCAGCCAGGAAGCATAGGAACTGAGAAGTGGTCTGTGGTCACCACCTGCAAAACCAGTCCTTTATTGGGGGTGTCTTGCTAATTGCCTATAATTTCCACCTGTTGTCTATTCCATTTGCACAACAGCATGTGAAATGTATTGTCAATCAGTGTTGCTTCCTAAGTGGACAGTTTGATTTCACAGAAGTGTGATTGACTTGGAGTTACATTGTGTTGTTTAAGTGTTCCCTTTATTTTTTTGAGCAGTGTACTTTTTTCCCTCACTGTACATTCTCTACCATTGTACTTAATTTAATATTGATTATACAGTGTATAGTATAATGTGTATACAATATCCCTCTCCTCTCCTCTCCTCTCCTCTCCTGTGTGTTCAGACTGAGAAGAGAGAGCGGAACGAGGAGCTAGATGACATAGAGAGTAATCTGTTGGTGCCGGCTGGGGTAACACTCAGATTGGTCACTCTCAACCTGAAGGTGTACCGTGCAGAGGACATGCCTCAGAGTACGTGTATACTCCTTCTTTCTCCATTTTCCTTCCTCCATCAGCAGCAAAGTATCATTTAGTCCAGTCCAAAAACAACTCCTTGCCCCTTCCCTTATCCCTAAACCTCTTTTTTCTTCCACCTACCACTTGGGTATGCATATTTCTAGGTAAAGGAAATGTGTAAGCTATATGGCAGAAGTTATGGCAGCCACCACCATATTGATTGCACGTACAGTGGGAGGAAAAGTATTTAGTCAGCCACCAATTGTGCAAGTTCTCCCACTTAAAAAGATGAGAGAGGCCTGTAATTTTCATCATAGGTACACGTCAACTATGACAGACAAATTGAGAGATAAAAATCCAGAAAATCACATTGTAGGATTTTTAATGAATTTATTTGCAAATTATGGTGGAAAATAAGTATTTGGTCACCTACAAACCAGCAAGATTTCTGGCTCTCACAGACCTGTAACTTCTTCTTTTAGAGGCTCCTCTGTCCTCCACTCGTTATCTGTATTAATGGCACCTGTTTGAACTTGTTATCAGTATAAAAGACACCTGTCCACAACCTCAAACAGTCACACTCCAAACTCCACTATGGCCAAGACCAAAGAGCTGTCAAAGGACACCAGAAACAAAATTGTAGACCTGCACCAGGCTGGGAAGACTGAATCTGCAATAGGTAAGCAGCTTGGTTTGAAGAAATCAACTGTGGGAGCAATTATTAGGAAATGGAAGACATACAAGACCACTAATAATCTCCCTCGATCTGGGGCTCAGCGCAAGATCTCACCCCGTGGGGTCAAAATGATCACAAGAACGGTGAGCAAAAATCCCAGAACCACACGGGGGGACCTAGTGAATGACCTGCAGAGAGCTGGGACCAAAGTAACAAAGCCTAGCATCAGTAACACACTACGCCGCCAGGGACTCAAATCCTGCAGTGCCAGACGTGTCCCCCTGCTTAAGCCAGTACATGTCCAGGCCCGTCTGAAGTTTGCTAGAGTGCATTTGGATCATCCAGAAGAGGATTGGGAGAATGTCATATGGTCAGATGAAACCAAAATATAACTTTTTGGTAAAAACTCAACTCGTCGTGTTTGGAGGACAAAGAATGCTGAGTTGCATCCAAAGAACACCATACCTACTGTGAAGCATGGGGGTGGAAACATCATGCTTTGGGGCTGTTTTTCTGCAAAGGGACCAGGACGACTGATCCGTGTAAAGGAAAGAATGAATGGGGCCATGTATCGTGACATTTTGAGTGAAAACCTCCTTCCATCAGCAAGGGCATTGAAGATGAAACGTGGCTGGGTCTTTCAGCATGACAATGATCCCAAACACACCGCCCGGGCAACGAAGGAGTGGCTTCGTAAGAAGCATTTCAAGGTCCTGGAGTGACCTAGCCAGTCTCCAGATCTCAACCCCATAGAAAATCTTTGGAGGGAGTTGAAAGTCCGTGTTGCCCAGCGACAGCCCCAAAACATCACTGCTCTAGAGGAGATCTGCATGGAGGAATGGGCCAAAATACCAGCAACAGTGTGTGAAAACCTTGTGAAGACTTACAGAAAACGTTTGACCTGTGTCATTGCCAACAAAGGGTATATAACAAAGTATTGAGAAACTTTTGTTATTGACCAAATACTTATTTTCCACCATAATTTGCAAATAAATTCATTAAAAATCCTACAATGTGATTTTCTGGATTTTTTTCTTCTCATTTTGTCTGTCATAGTTGACGTGTACCTATGATGAAAATTACAGGCCTCTCTCATCTTTTTAAATGGGAGAACTTGCACAATTGGTGGCTGACTAAATACTTTTTCCCCCACTGTATCTGGAAATTCATTTCAAGTAATCAAACATTGTAATCAGTGGGCCTGCTCTTTCACAACGTTGATTGAACATCTGTTATTTGTTATGGTGGGGTATGTTAATATCCATTCTCTCCATCTTACAGTGGATGATGCGTTTGTGCAGACTGTGAAACAAGTATTTGGAGGGGAAGGCGATAAGAAAAACTTAGTTGATCCATTTCTGGAGGTCAGCTTCGCTGGCAAGAAGGTAAAGCTAAGTCTCAGAACACAACTCCTAGAATGCAAGAGAAAGAAAAACGTCATTATGCAAATATCTTCAGATCTTTGGTTTGATGTTGCTTAGTGATGACATTGTTTTGGTTTCAGCTGTGCACCAAAATTGTCGAGAAAAATGCAAATCCTGAGTGGAACCAGCTGATCAACCTTCAGGTCAAGGTATGAACTAGCTCTCTCGTATTACATGTAGTACACCACAACATCCTTGGATGACAGTATCACTGGAAGCCAGACGAACACAACATGCTCTCATTTCCCTGTTTAGTTCCCATCCATGTGTGAAAGCATCAAGTTGACTGTATTTGACTGGTAAGACTTTGGTTATCATCCCTGGAAGACAGATACTGTACATGTTTGGATTGTTATAACGGTCTACTGTGAATTACACTATCCACATTCATGAATACCTTCACTTTTAAATTCTGCTACTTTGAGTTTGAAGAGATGGATCTCGTATGAACGTTTATTTACAATGTATTGAACTGTTCACACAGGGATCGTCTGACCAGGAATGATGTGATAGGAACCACATTTCTAAATCTGACCAAAATAGCCTCATCTGGTGGTGAGATTGAAGGTATTGGTATTCATATTTCCTCTTTATATCTACCTCTCACCTTCCTTTCCTACTTTCGCTTTTTCTTCCTTCTTCCTCTCCTCTTCTCTCTCATCTCCTCTATATCTCTCTATCTCTCTCTCTCTTCTCTCTCTCTCTCTTCTCCTCTCTATCTCTCTATCTTCTCTCTCTACTCTTCCGCTCTCTCTCTCTCTCTGCTCTCTGTATGTGGGGGTGTGCGTGTGTGTGTGAGAGTGTGTGTTCCCTGTCTCACCCACATTGCATCTGTCCCTTCAAACAGATACACCTGCAGAAAATTGCACGACTCTGTCATCTGAAGGTAAAAAACCATCATCTTATTGTATGAGGCTTCCCTATAGGGTGGCAGTAACTGAAAGGTGTTTCGAATACCTGAGCCGACAAGGTAAAAAAAATCTGTCAATGTGCCCTTGAGAGCACTTAACCCTAATTTGCTCAAGGTGTGCCATACTACAATGGCTGACCCTGTAAAACAACACATTTCACTGCACCTATCTGGTGTATGTGAAAATAAAACATATCTTATTTTTATTTTTTTATAGCCTTTGTCAAACAGGCATAGCACTTCTAAATACAGTACTACAGTATGACTACCAATGTAGCATGGGAACTACTCTGTATTACCATGTTTTTTTTTTTTTTTACGGGGGGAGAAAACGGAAAAACAGCTTCTATCTCCAGGCTATCAGACTGTTAAATAGTTACCACTAGCCGGCTACCACCCGGGACTCTACCCTGCACCTTAGAGACTGCTGCCCTATGTACATAGTCATTGAACACTGGTCACTTAATTATGTTTACATACTGTTCTATTCATATACTGTCCATACTGTCTATGTACGCCATTATATGTATTTATATTCCGACTCTAACGTTGCTTGTTCTGATATTTCAAAATGTATTTCTTAATTTTTAGGGGGATTTGTCTGTATTTTTTTGAATTGTTAGGTAATACTGTTATTTTGGAGCTAGAAACGTAAGTATTTCGCTGCACCTGCGATAACTTCTGCAAAATATGTTTATGCGACCAATAACATTTGATTTGTTAACACTATCGCTCAGAGTCTGGTCGCCAGGCTAATTACGCTGTACCTGGCAATGTCCTGGAGTAAATATTACATTAATTCAAAATAACTGTCCCAAACCATTTCACAAAGAGAAGCTGCCTTTTATTTCAGTGAGCAGTGGGCAGGCAGAGGTGGGTTTCCTCCCAGCGTTTGGGCCATGCTACCTAAACCTGTACGGCAGTCCCAGGGAGTTCACTGGCCTCCTAGACCCATACGAGGAACTCAACTTTGGCAAGGTAAGACCAGCCCTGTGGTTGAGTACAAGTGATTCAGCTCTGGCAGGAGGTTTTGTTATTATTTTTTCTTATTGTAAATATTTGCATATCTAACATGCACAACTCTCTCACAGGAAAATGTAATTATTAAGATTCAGAATGGAAATTGTTGTAGACAATTGTAAATCAGCTCTTGTAGTCAAGAAAACTATTAAGCATTCACCTAGGGTTTATTCTTTAGTGGCCAGCATTGAACTCTCCTAGACACAAATACATTTGAGCTTAAAAGGCAAGGGACATCTGGTTTAGATCAGTATTCTCTTTTCTGCTGAGTTTCTTGGCATGCTTATCTATTCTATAAAACATACATTAAGGTATCCAAGTGATATACACCTCAATGTATAACACATGTGGGATTGCCACGTTTCATACTTCCCTTCCTCAAATCAAGATTGTCCGGTTCTAGTTCAACTTCGATAAAAGCTTTAAAGCACACAGTACAATTGTCATTAAGCTTAATTTTTCCTTCACAAAATGCATTTTTTTAGTGTCTCAAGTAATTTCCTGTGTTGATAGGAACATTCTGTGTAGCAACAGGATTACAGTATCACTGTGTTTCATCTCTGTCTGTCTCTGTCTGTCTGTCTACCAGGGTGAAGGGGTGGCATACAGGGGCAGAGTCCTCATTGAGCTCTCCACTCAGCTGGAGGGCAAAGTTGACAGGAAGCTGGACAACATCTCCAGTGACGACATCCTGGTGGCCCAGGTACACAGAGAGGGCAGGATCCTGTCATAGCTGGGATATTGTTGCTTCATGTATTAATAAAGGTCTGAAACAGGGTTGGTGTCAGATCCAATTGAAGGCAGTCAATTCAGGAAGTAAATTGAAATTCCAGTTTAATCATTTAAAAAAGGGCATCTATTTTCGATGACTTCTCAATAAACTGAAAGGTAGAAGCTATTTACTTCAAAATTAATTCAAATTACTTCCGGAATTGACTGCCTTCAATTCGAATTGACCCCAACCCTGGTACGAAACTTGCGAAACGTAGTGAAGAACTGATGAGAAATGGATACAGAGAAAGCTGGAAGGGAAAATGTTCCCCTCCATCCAGATTTCTTGTGTGTAGACCAGTGTTTCCAAATCCAATTTTGTTTTAGTCCAGCAATAACACACCTGTAATGAATGTACAATGGAATTAAGCACCCCTGACCTCTTGTCTGTTATTTCAGAAGTACCAGCGGAGGAGGAAGTTCTCGCTGTGTGCTGTGTTCCACAGCTCCTGCATGCTCCAGGAGCCCGGTGAGCCAATCCAGTTCGAGGTCAGCATCGGTAACTACGGCAACAAGCTGGACTCCACCTGCATGCCGCTGGCGTCCACAACCCAGTACAGCTGTGCTGTGTTTGACGGTGAGAAAACCAAGACTGTAAACCAGTGTTCTTCAATCCTGATGGTTACCCTCCTGGTGTGCTAGCTATTGTTCCAGCCCAGTGCCAACACACCTGACTAATCATCAAGCCCCTGATTAGACCTGATATCTGCATGTTTACAAGATAAAGCTTTTTTAGCACCCATGCTTTGAGAGCATCTGTCAATTCTAAAGGCACAAAGCAGACGAACTATGCACAGTGATGCATATCAAAACAGGAAAACATAGAGTACCAGTCAAAAGTTTGGACACACCTACTCATTCCAGGGTTTTCTTTATTTTTACTATTTTCTACATTGTAGAATAATAGTGAAGACATCAAAACTATGAAATAACACATATGGAATCATGTAGTAACCAGAAAAGTGTTAAACACATCAAAATATATTTTATATTTGAAATTCTTCAAAGTAGCCACCCTTTGCCTTGATGACAGCTTTGCACACTCTTGGCATTCTCTCAACCAGCTTCATGAGGTAGTCACCTGGAATGCATTTCAATTAACAGGTGTGCCTTGTTAAAAGTTAATTTGTGGAATTTATTTCCTTCTTAATGCGTTTGAGCCAATGAGTTGTGTTGTGACAAGGTAGGGGTGGTATACAGAAGATAGCCCTATTTGGTAAAAGACCAAGTCCATATTATGGCAAGAACAGCTCAAATTAGCAAAGAGAAACGACAGTCCATCATTACTTGAAGATATGAAGGTCAGTCAATCCGGAAAAATTCAAGAACTTTGAAAGTTTCTTAAAGTGCAGTCGCAAAAACCATCAAGTGCTATGATGAAACTGGCTCTCATGAGGACCGCCACAGGAAAGGAAGGCCCAGAGTTATCTCTGCTGCAGAGGATAAGTTCATTAGAGTTAACTGCACCTCAGATTGCACCCCAAATAAATGCTTCACAGAGTTCGAGTAACATAGACATCTCAATATCAACTGTTCAGAGGAGACTGCGTGAATCAGGCCTTCATGGTCGAATTGCTGCAAAGAAACGACTACCAAAGGACACAAATAAGAAGAAAAGACTTGCTTGGGCCAAGAAACACAAGCAATGGACATTAGAACGGTGGAAATCTGTCCTTTGATCTGATGAGATTTGAGATTTTTGGTTCCAACCGCTGTGTCTTTGTGAGATGCAGAGTAGGTGAACGGATGATCTCCGCATGTGTGGTTCCCACCGTGAAGCATGGAGGAGGAGGTGTTATGGTGTGGGGGTGCTTTGCTGGTGACACTGTCTGTGATTTATTTAGAATTCATGGCACACTTAACCAGCATGGCTACCACATCATTCTGCAGCGATACGCCATCCCATCTGGTTTGCGCTTAGTGGGACTATCATTTGTTTTTCAAAAGGACAATGATCCAAAACACACCTCCAGGCTGTGTAAGGGCTATTTGACCAAGGAGAGGGATGGAGTGCTGCATCAGACCTGGCCTCCACAATCACCCAACCTCAACCCAATTGAGATGGTATCAAATCAAATCAAATTTTATTGGCCACATGCGCGGAATACAACAGGTGCAGACATTACAGTGAAATGTTTACTTACAGCCCTTAACCAACAGTGCATTTATTTTTAATAAAAAAGTAGAATAAAACAACAAAAAAGTGTTGAGAAAAAAAGAGCAGAAGTAAAATAAAATAACAGTAGGGAGGCTATATATACAGGGGGGTACCGGTGCAGAGTCAATGTGCGGGGGCACCGGCTAGTTGAGGTAGTTGAAGTAATATGTACATGTGGGTAGTTAGTGACTATGCATAAATAATTAACAGAGTAGCAGCAGCGTAAAAAGATTGGGGGGGGGGGGGCAGTGCAAATAGTCCGGGTAGCCATGATTAGCTGTTCAGGAGTCTTATGGCTTGGGGGTAGAAGCTGTTGAGAAGTCTTTTGGACCTAGACTTGGCACTCCGGTACCGCTTGCCGTGCGGTAGCAGAGAGAACAGTCTATGACTAGGGTGGCTGGAGTCTTTGACAATTTTGAGGGCCTTCCTCTGACACCGCCTGGTATAGAGGTCCTGGATGGCAGGAAGCTTGGCCCCAGTGATGTACTGGGCCGTACGCACTGCCCTCTGTAGTGCCTTGCGGTCGGAGGTCAAGCAGTTGCCATACCAGGCGGTGATGCAACCAGTCAGGATGCTCTCAATGGTGCAGCTGTATAATTTTTTGAGGATCTAAGGACCCATGCCAAATCTTTTCAGTCTCCTGAGGGGGAATAGGCTTTGTCGTGCCCTCTTCACGACTGTCTTGGTGTGTTTGGACCATGATAGTTCGTTGGTGATGTGGACACCAAGGAACTTGAAGCTCTCAACCTGTTCCACTACAGCCCCGTCGATGAGAATGGGGGCGTGCTCAGTCCTCTTTTTTTTCCTGTAGTCCACAATCACCTCCTTTTGTCTTGGTCACGTTGAGGGAGAGGTTGTTATCCTGGCACCACACGGCCAGGTCTCTGACCTCCTCCCTATAGGCTGTCTCATCGTTGTCGGTGATCAGGCCTACCACTGTTGTGTCGTCGGCAAACTTAATGATGGTGTTGGAGTCGTGCCTGGCCATGCAGTCATGGGTGAACAGGGAGTACAGGAGGGGACTGAGCACGCACCCCTGAGGGGCCCCCGTGTTGAGGATCAGTGTGGCAGATGTGTTGTTACCTACCCTTACCACCTGGGGGCGGCCCATCAGGAAGTCCAGGATCCAGTTGCAGAGGGAGGTGTTTAGTCCCAGGATCCTTAGCTTAGTGATGAGCTTTGAGGGCACTATGGTGTTGAATGCTGAGCTGTAGTCAATGAATAGCATTCTCACGTAGGTGTTCCTCTTGTCCAGGTGGGAAAGGGCAGTGTGGAGTGCAATAGAGATTGCATCATCTGTGGATCTGTTGGGGCGGTATGCAAATTGGAGTGGGTCTAGGGTTTCTGGGATAATGGTGTCGATGTGAGCCATGACCAGCCTTTCAAAGCACTTCATGGCTACAGACGTCAGTGCTACGGGTCGGTAGTCATTTGAAACATGTTGGTATTACAGACTCAGTCAGGGACATGTTAAAAATGTCAGTGAAGACACTTGCCAGTTGGTCAGCACATGCTCAGAGTACACGTCCTGGTAATCCGTCTGGCCCTGCGGCCTTGTGAATGTTGACCTGCTTAAAAGTCTTACTCACATCGGCTACAGAGAGCATGATCACATAGTCATCCGGAACAGCTGGTGCTCTCATGCATGCTTCAGTGTTGCTTGCCTCGAAGCGAGCATAGAAGTGGTTTAGCTCGTCTGGAAGTCTTGTGTCACTGGGCAGCTTGCGGCTGTGCTTCCCTTTGTAGTCTGTAATAGTTTTCAAGCCCTGCCACATCTGACGAGCGTCAGAGCCGGTGTAGTACGATTCAATCTTAGTCCTGTATTGACTATTTGCCTGTTTGATGGTTCGTCGGAGGGCATAGCGGGATTTCTTATAAGCGTCCGGATTAGAGTCCCGCTTCTTGAAAGCGGCAGCTCTACCCTTTAGCTCAGTGCGGATGTTTCCTGTAATCCATGGCTTCTGGTTGGGGTATGTACGTACGGTCACTGTGGGGACGACATCATCGATGCACTTATTGATGAAGCCAGTGACTGATGTGGTGTACTCCTCAATGCTATCTGAAGAATCCCGGAACATGTTCCAGTCTGTGCTAGCAAAACAGTCCTGTAGCTTAGCATCTGCGTCATCTGACCACTTTTTTATTAACCGAGTCACTGGTGCTTCCTGCTTTAGTTTTTGCTTATAAGCAGGAATCAGGAGGATAGAGTTATGGTCAGATTTGCCAAATTGAGGGCGAGGGAGAGCTTTGTATGCGTCTCTGTGTGTGGAGAAAAGGTGGTCTAGAGTATTTTTTTCCTCTGGTTGCACATTTAACATGCTGGTAGAAATTAGGTAGAACGGATTTAAGTTTCCCTGCATTAAAATCCCCGGCCACTAGGAGCGCTGCCTCTGGATGAGCGTTTTCCTGTTGACTTATGGCCTTATACAGCTCATTCAGTGCAATCTTAATGCCAGCATTGGTTTGTGGTGGTAAATAGACAGCTATGAAAAATATAGATGAAAACTCTCTTGGTAAATAGTGTGGTCTACAGCTTATCATAAGATACTCTACCTCAGGCGAGCAAAACCTTGAGACTTCCTTAGTATTTTATTTTGTGAACCAGCTGTTGTTTACAAATATACACAGACCGCCACCCCTTGTCTTACCGGAGTCAGCCGTTCTATCCTGCCGATGTAGCGTATAGCCCGCTAGCTGTATTTTGTCCATGTCGTCGTTCAGCCACGACTCGGTGAAACATAAGATATTACAGTTTTTAATGTCCCGTTGGTAGGATAACCGTAATCTTAGGTCATCCAATTTATTCTCAAATGATTGAAGATTGGCTAATAGGATTGATGGGAGCGGCAGTTTACTCGCTCGCCGTCGGTTCCTTACAAGGCACCCCGACCTACGTCCACGATATCTCTGTCTCTTCCTCATGCGAATGACGGGGATTTGGGCCTTGTCGGGTGTCTGTAGGATATCCTTTGCGGCCGCCTCGTTGAAGAAAAAATCTTCGTCCAATACGAGGTGAGTAATCGCTGTCCTGATATCCAGAAGCTCGTTTTGGTTATAAGAGACGATGGCAGAAACATTATGTACAAAATTAATTACAAATAACGCGGAAAAACACACATAATAGTACAATTGGTTAGAGTGCTGTAAAACGGCAGCCATCTTCTCCGGCGCCATTATGATGTTTGGGATGAGTTCGACTGCAGAGTGAAGGAAAAGCAGCCAACAAGTGCTCAGCATATGTGGGAACTTCTTCAGGACTGTTGGAGAAGCATTCCCCATGAAGCTGGTTGAGAGAATGCCAAGAGTGTGCAAAGATGTCATCAAGGCAAAGGGTGGCTACTTTGAAGAATCTCAAATATAAAATATGTTTTGATTTGTTTAACACTTGTTTGGTTACTACATGATTACATATGTGTTATTTCATAGTTTTGATGTCTTCACTATTATTATACTATGTAGAAAATAGTAAAAATAAAGAAAAACCCTGGAATGAGTTGGTGTGTCCAATCTTCTGACTGGTACTGTACATGCCTATCAAAACTGCAATGCTGTTCCCAATGCAGTAAAGACATCCAAACACAGCAGGACTGAATTGTCAAGTTGTACAGTTGAAGTCGGAAGTTTACATACACTTAGGTTGGAGTCATTAAAACTCGTTTTTCAACCACTCCACAAATGTCTTGTTAACAAACTATAGTTTTGGCAAGTCGGTTAGGACAACTACTTTGTGCATGACACAAGTAATTTTTCCAACAATTGTTTACAGACAGATTATTTCACTTATAATTCACTGTATCACAATTCCAGTGGGTCAGAAGTTTACATACAGTAAGTTGACTAAGTGCCTTTAACCTCTTAAGGCCCAAGCTGTTTTTTTACATGCATTTTTTATTTCTCTTTGCTATTTGGGCTTATTGGAACCTAATTAGAATAAAAACTAAGTATCATCTTTTGATATGATGTACTTTTAGAGAAAAATGATGTCCACATATGTGGATTCATGGTCCGAATTGTATTAGGCTAACATTTTCAACACAACTAATTTAAGTATGTATGTATGTATTTAGTGATTTAATTGTTATTTATTTCATTGGGACCATGTACAGCTTTTTAGCTGCATCAGAGCTAGCTTTTTTCCCATTTTACGTGTGTGCATGTTTACAAGCATATTAGCTGTTTCGAGGAGCCTCAGTCCATAAGTACACTTACTGGTACTTCATGTTTAGCGACCTACAAAAGTGGCTAGTTTTACACTTTTTTTTTCCAAATTTGCCATGTCATCGACAAAATATACAGGCTTGTTATAAATATCTAAAATCAGAATAAGCCATGAAATATGACAGAACTCTTACCACAATTGTGGACATAAGAGGCTAAAAAGTGCTGTCCACGTATGTGACCACTAAGCCCTAGGAGGTTAAACAGCTTGGAAAATTCCAGAAAATTATGTCATGGCTTTAGAAGCTTCATATAGGCTAATTGACATCATTTGAGTCAATTGGAGGTGTACCTTCAAACTCAGTGCCTCTTTGCTTGACATCATGGGAAAATCAAAAGAAATCAGCCAAGACCTCAGAAAAAAAATGGTAGACCTCCACAAGTCTGGTTCATCCTTGGTAGCAATTTCCTAAAGCCTGAAGGTACCACGTTCATCTGTACATATAATAGTATACAAGTATAAACACCATGGGACCACGCAGCCATCATACCGCTCAGGAAGGAGACGCGTTCTGTCTCCTAGAGATGAACGTACTTTGGTGCGAAAAGTGCAAATCAATCCCAGAACAACAGCAAAGGACCTTGTGAAGATGCGAGAGGAAACAGGTACCAAAGTGTCTATATTCACAGTAAAACTAGTCCTATATCGACATAACCTGAAAGGCCGCTCAGCAAGGAAGAAGCCACTGCTCCAAAACCGCCATAAAAAAAACTGAATACAGTTTGCAACTGCACATGGGGACAAATATCGTACTTTTTGGAGAAATGTCCTCTGGTCTGATGAAACAGAAATATAACTGTTTGGCCATAATGACCATCGTTATGTTTGGAGGAAAAAGGGGGAACGCTTGCAAGCAGAAGAACACCATCCCAACCGTGAAGCACGGGGGTGGCAGCATCATGCTGTGGGGGTGCTTTGCTGCAGGAGGGACTGGTGCACTTCACAAAATAGATGGCATCTTGAGGAAGGAAAATTATGTGGATATATTGAAGCAACATCTCAAGACATCTGTCAGGAAGTTAAAGCTTGTTCACAAATGGGTCTTCCAAATGGACAATGACCCCAAGCATACTTCCAAAGTTGTGGCAAAATGGCTTAAGGACAACAAAGTCAAGGTATTGGAGTGGCCATCACGAAGCCCTGACCTCAATCCTATAGAAAATATGTGGGCAGAACTGAAAAAGCGTGTGCGAGCAAGGAGGCCTACAAACTTGACTCAGTTACACCAGCTCTGTCATGAGGAATGGGCCAAAATTCACCCAACGTATTGTGGGAAGCTTGTGGAAGGCTACCCAAAATGTTTGACCCAAGTTAAACAATTTAAAGGCAATGCTACCAAATACTAATTGAGTGTATGTTAACTTCTGACCCACTGGGAATGTGATGAAATAAATAAAAGCTGAAAGAAATCATTCTCTCTACTATTATTCTGACATTTCACATTCTTAAAATAAAGTGGTGATCCTAACTGACCTAAGACAGGGAATTTTTACTAGGATTGTGAAAAACTGAGTTTAGATGTATTTGGCTAAGGTGTATGTAAACTTCCGACTTCAACTGGATATACCACTCTGCAGCTTGAACTGGAGATGACTTAGTTCTGGTTCTCCTGTAGGTAACCACTACTATTACCTGCCCTGGGCTGACACCAAACCTGTTGTCATCCTCACGTCCTTCTGGGAAGACATCAGTCACAGATTGGATTCAGTCAACATCATCCTCTGCATCGCAGATAGACTGGTGAGAAACACTTTCAACAAATTGATCAACCTATCAATCAATCAACAAATCATAGGACAATTCTCAGTTGTTGCAACTTTGTTATTTTGGTCTGGTGTCATTTCTTCCAGGAATCCAACCTTACGTCTTTGAGAACAGCCATCCTTGCCAAAGCCTCAGAGGCACGCTTGGCTGAGATCTGGCTCAAACTCATAAACCACATTATTGAGGACCTGAGCAGGTAAGACATTCATTGATCCTATCTCAGCTTATGATAGTTTCTTGCTAGGTTCTGTTTGCTTCCTTCTAACTTATCTTAGCTTCACACTAGCATCAGATCGCTTCATGATATGTTCTGATAGCTTAATGCTAGTTGTGATAATTTTATGCTAGGTTCTGGTAGCTTTGTGCATGGTTATGATAGATTCACCCTAGCTTCTCATAACGTCACACTAGCATCTGATAGCTTCATGCTAGGTTCTGATAGCTTCACCCTAGTTTCACATTTGTTAGTTCATGCTACGTTGTAATAGCTTCATGTGAGGTTGTGATAGTTTCATGCTAGGTTCTGATAGCTTCGTGCTAGGTTCTGATAGCTTCATGCTAGGTTCTTATAGTGTCATATAGGTTCTTATCGCTTCAAAGCTTCTGATAGCTTTCAGGTTCCAGAGCTTGAGGGCAGGCCCAACCTGACGGCGCTGGACGTCCAGATTAAGAAGCTGCGTGACTCGGCAGTGGCCAGCATCAGAGAGATGGCCAAACGCATGAAGGAGGAGGCCACCGATGTTATGGCCACTATGACAGACATCGAGGACTGGCTGGAGAGACTGAAACAGCTTGCAGAGGAGGTCAGGAGCAACAAGACATTGACATTCTCACTACATTCAGGGTTCAATAGCACATTGATTATTGGAATGTACTTAAATGTAAGGGTGTGCTCTTATTTTGAGGGTGCCATGACTTGTTATGGGAGTGCCAAGCCCACTCAATTTGAACCCTGAGCACACGTACCAGAATTGTCTCTCTCTCTCTACTACTGTCAGCGGAAAACTCTCTCTCTCTTGCTCTTTCTCATTCTTCCTCTCTCATACCTGTCTTTCGCTCTCCCCTCAGCCCCAGAACAGTATGCCTGACGTGGTGATCTGGATGCTGCGTGGAGAGAGGAGGGTGGCGTATGCCCGCCTCCCAGCCAATCAGATCCTCTACTCCACCTACAGTGAGCAGGCCTGTGGGAAATACTGTGGCAGGACCCAGACCATCTTCATGCAGGTACTAGGATGGAGAACAGACTAGTAGTAGTAAGTAGTAAGTAGTAGTAGTAGTAGTAGTAGTAGTAGCAGTAGCAGTAGCAGTAGCAGTAGCAGTAGCAGTAGTAGTAGTAGTAGTAGTAGTAGTAGTAGTAGTAGTAGTAGTAGTAGCAGTAGTAGTAGTAGTAGCAGTAGTAGTAGTAGTAGTAGAAGAAGAATACTACAGCAGGACCAATACTGATCATGCTACTACTATTATCACTAGTATTAGTGATAGTAGTAGTGGTATAATTAAGCATGGCCACGGCTAAGGGCTGTATCCAAGCACCCCGTGTTGCGTCGTGCTAAAGAACAGCCCTTAGTTGTGGTATATTGACCATATAGCATACCCCCTCAGGCCTTATTGCTTAAGTATAGTACAGGGGTCGGCAACAGGTGTCCCGCGGGCCAAAACCAGCCCGCAAGTGATTTTTTTTGCCCCCCCTCAACGTTTTTAATGAAAAAAATATATATATAAAATAATTACGGATTTTAGTTTTTTGCAACAAAAAAAAGAATGTAAAATCACCAGGAATTCAGCAAAAAATTTGTTTAATTTAGGTATTCTGTACCCAAGTATTCCCATGAATAAAAAAAGAAACGTGATCATGTCTCAATGTAATCAAGGTATGAAATAATTATTTTCAAATACAATCTCTTTTTGGAATTAGTTGTGGTCAATTTCCCGACCATCCAATCCGACAAAAATCGTCCCGCTGCTGAATCTAATTGCCTACCTCTGGTATAGTGGTATGATAATAGTACGGGAATACTGCAGCAGGACCAAGACAGTCTTCATGCAGTTACTGAGGTGTACAGAGAGTTAAAACTGATGCCACAGACATTGTTAGTGGATATTGAAGCGAAACTGGTTGAAATGACATCATTATAATCAGAAACTGATTTTCCTCAGTTTTGTCTGCTGGGTAGAGGCTCATAATCAGTTTTGTGTCCAATGACAATGTCTGGCAGGGGGCGAAGAGAGGAAGAGTCCAGGGAGCGTATCTGTTTGAACGCAGGTGCATTGGTTTAAACCTCAGATATGGCATAAACATTCAGAGATAACATGCAGTTTGCTACTTGTCGTTTTCATAGGTGATGTACAGTAGGGTTGGATGGTATACCATATATACTGTATACCAGTGTATTTCGGTATGATGTTCAATACCGTCAATATCGTTGAAACATTAGCCGGTTAGCTAAAGGTAGCTAACGCAGATTAGTGCTAGATATGGAAATCTGGATACCGCTCAACCCTAATGTATAGTATTTTGTTTTGTTGTATGTTCGTTTCGGCCAGTACCCCATGGACAAAAACAAAGGCGTGAAGATCCCTGTCCAGCTCCGTGTCAACATGTGGCTGGGGCTCTCTGCCCACGTGAAGAAGTTCAACAGCTTCTCAGAGGGAACCTTCAGCGTGTTCGCAGAAATGGTGTTATTATTATAATTATTCACAATGCCTTGTTTTACAGTCCTAAAGCTGGTATTTTACTTGGTCTTTACTATGCTGACAAATCTCTTTTCTCTCACCCCCTCGTTCTCCCTCTCCCCCCTCAGTATGAGAACCAGGCCCAGGTTTTTGGGAAGTGGGGCACCACAGGGTTGGTGTGCCGGCATAAGTTCTCTGACGTGACGGGGAAGGTGAAGCTGAAACAGGAGCGCTTCATGCCCCCCAGGGCGTGGGAGTGGGAAGGCGAGTGGTTTGTCGACCCCGAGAAATGGTGAGCGTGTTGGCTGTTAGCATGCTTAAACACACACAAGCATAAATGTATGCTGCGCACACACACACACTCATACTCACTCATACTTATACTCACATCCACACACACACACACACTCACTCAGACTCACTCACACACACAAATAGTCATACACACATACACACACACAGAAGTTTGTGGACCCTGATAGATGGTGAGCGGGAGATCTCTAGCCCTATAAATAATTGAATTTGAGTAGAAACTTCCTGTTGTAATTGTTTGTTTTCAGTAGTTTACATTTCAGTTGGACTACCCACCCACACAAATCTAGCTTGGTCTGGCATTGTCTGTGGTTGTGGTTGGGGAATCTTTCTCTTTCCGTCTCTATACAGTGAGGGAAAAAAGTATTTGATCACCTGCTGATTTTGTACGTTTGCCCACTGACAAAGAAATGATCAGTCTATAATTTTAATGGTAGGTTTATTTGAACAGCGAGAGACAGAATAACAACAAAAAAGTCCAGAAAAATGCATGTCAAAAATGTTATAAATTGATTTGCATTTTAATGAGGGAAATAAGTATTTGACCCCTCTGCAAAACATTACTTAGTACTTGGTGGCAAAACCCTTGTTGGCAATCACAGAGGTCAGACGTTTCTTGTAGTTGGCCACCAGGTTTGCACACATCCCAGGAGGGATTTTGTCCCACTTCTCTTTGCAGATCTTCTCCAAGTCATTAAGGTTTCGAGGCTGACGTTTGGCAACTCGAACCTTCAGCTCCCTCCACAGATTTTCTATGGGATTAAGGTCTGGAGACTGGCTAAGCCACTCCAGGACCTTAATGTGCTTCTTCTTGAGCCACTCCTTTGTTGCCCTGGCTGTGTGTTTTGGGTCATTGTCAATCTGGAATACCCATCCACAACCCATTTTCAATGCCCTGGCTGAGGTTCTCACCCAAGATTTGACGGTACATGGCCCCGTCCATCGTCCCTTTGATGCAGTGAAGTTGTCCTGTCCCCTTAGCAGAAAAACACCCCCAAAGCATAATGTTTCCACCTCCATGTTTGACGGTGGGGATGGTGTTCTTGGGGTCATAGGCAGCATTCCTCCTCCTCCAAACACGGCGAGTTGAGTTGATGCCAAAGAGCTCGATTTTGGTCTCATCTGACCACAACACTTTCACCCAGTTCTCCTCTGAATCATTCAGATGTTCATTGGCAAACTTCAGACGGGCCTGTATATATGCTTTCTTGAGCAGGGGGACCTTGCGGGCGCTGCAGGATTTCAGTCCTTCACGGCGTAGTGTGTTACCAATTGTTTTCTTGGTGACTATGGTCCCAGCTGCCTTGAGATCATTGACAAGATCCTCCCGTGTAGTTCTGGGCTGATTCCTCACCGTTCTCATGATCATTGCAACTCCACGAGGTGAGATCTTGCATGGAGCCCCAGGCCGAGGGAGATTGACAGTTCTTTTGTGTTTCTTCCATTTGCGAATAATCGCACCAACTGTTGTCACCTTCTCACCAAGCTGTTTGGCGATGGTCTTGTAGCCCATTCCAGCCTTGTGTAGGTCTACAATCTTGTCCCTGACATCCTTGGAGAGCTCTTTGGTCTTGGCCATGGTGGAGAGTTTGGAATCTGATTGATTGCTTCTGTGGACAGGTGTCTTTTATACAGGTAACAAACTGAGATTAGGAGCACTTTAAGAGTGTGCTCCTAATCTCAGCTCGTTACCTGTATAAAAGACACCTGGGAGCCAGAAATCTTTCTGATTGAGAGGGGGTCAAATACTTATTTCCCTCATTAAAATGCAAATCAATTTATAACATTTTTTACATGTGTTTTTCTGGATTTATTTGTTGTTGTTCTGTCTCTCACTGTTCAAATTATCCTACCATTAAAATTATAGACTGATCATTTCTTTGTCAGTGGGCAAACATACAAAATCAGCAGGGGATCAAATACTTTTTTCCCTCACTGTAGATGTGCAGGGAGTCATAGTACTGTGAGTACTCAGTACACAGTTCCACTTCCACCTCATCCACTCCACCTAAATCCTCATTGTTTGGCTCTGAGTCAGAAGTGCACAACACCAGCCCCCTCATAGAAACACTTCCCCAGACACAGTTACCTCATTTATTTGGTTGATTTGACCTTTTTCAAGACATTTATTCAGTGGTTCAGTAATCCTACCTTCTTTCCACTAGAGGTTAACATTCCTGGTCTAAGCTCTAGCTGCCAGTACTCGATAGGTTATTGGGATCAAGCCCGCTATTTGTGATGTGTGTTTGGTTTTACTATCCTTGTGGAGACCAGAAGTCCTCACAGGGATCGTAAAACCAGGAACATTTTGACAAGTGGGGACATTTCGCTGGTCCCCACAAGGAAAATTGTTATTTTAGGCTTAGGGGTTAGGTTTAGGGTTAGGGTTACAATTAGGGTTAGGATTAGAGTTAGGGATTAGGTTTATGAGTTAGGGTTAGGGTTTGTGGTGAGGGTTAGGGTTAGGGTGAGGTTAAGGGTTAGTGTTAGGGGTTAAGGAAAAAATGATTTTGAATGGGAATCAATTATTTGGTCCCCACAAGGATAGTAAAACAAACGTGTGTCTGTGTGATTCAGCCTGCTAACAGAGGCAGACGCGGGGCACACAGAGTTCACAGACGAGGTCTTCCAGAGCGAGACACGTTTCATTGGTGGGGAGTGGAAGCCTGCTGCCGAGCCCTTCACAGACGTGGTGAGACAGAGCAACACAGACACACACACACACACACACACACACACACTATTGCTAGAGACAACCCTGTCGCCTGTACTCAGACCCCTCTATCTACAAGAGGGAATAAATATGTAACATTGAGAAGTTAACCTGAGACCCGTCAGTGTCACATTAATTCTCACTTCACGACGAGATTGTATGTTCTCTATTTCTTACAAAAAGAGGGCAACGAAACTGAAGCCATTTAGTCTGTTTCCTATGCAATTTGATCTCCTAGACTACGTAGGGACATGTGCTCTTCCCTGGATTCATTTTATGCACATATCACTCACTGTCAGCCACATAGAAGTCATGTTTGTCTAGTGTATGTTTCCCTTGTCAAGAGAGCTGCATATAGCCTGGGTACCATTCCACTTTTTGCCTCTACTTGTCATGCCAAGAATGGTAGATACAAATAAATACAAGTTGTTTCTTAATAACAGTATTTATAGTTGTTCTTAAAATTCTAGTTTTTTATTGCGCACGCGCCATTTTCCTTAACGTTGTCATGGAATTGGAAAACACTAATGGTATTTCTAACAACCAATCAGCTGCATATTGAACGTTGAGACTGCCAAATGTCCAGACTGTTTGGCATATGACACGGAGTACAAGGAGTGAAAACAGGTCTGGATTTCAGGATAAGCTAGGTAGCCTTGATGTTTTCAAACTGTGATGCTTATTGTTTTGATGTTGGGGAGTTTACACAGCCAGCTACCTTTTACCACAATGGTGCTTGTTTCAATGAATCCCCCAAAATACACAGGCTTAGTTAAATACTTGCTAGCAGACTAGAAACCAATGTGAATCAATCCCTCCCCAAACAGAATACCCAGAGGGGAAAATAGAGTGCTACTTCACTACTTTTATAAACAGTGTCTCTGTATTGTTTTGATGTTGTATGTGGTATCACATGTTGTTATACAGCCATTGTGTAATGTTGGAAGTGACTGACTGTGACTGTTCTGTGTAGAATGGGCAGAAGAGCCAGAGTCCAGGGGAGATAGAGTGTCCTGCTGGCTGGAAGTGGGAGGATGACTGGAGCTTCGACAGTAACAGGGCTGTGGATGAGAAAGGTAAAGAAGCACTGGAATTATTCCCCTTCATATCCATAACCCAGATGCTAACACTCAGTTTGATTTTATAGTGTACTGTTGTATACTTGTTTCAATCAAACAATCAATCTTGTTTAAGGATTGTATTATTATGTGTAGAACAATATGGCACTGTATTGTATACAATCTCATTGATACACCTCTTCTGTACTGTATTTGGACTCATATTTTGACTTTACCTATTATAACCAATGTGATACTACAGTATAAAGCTGAATGTCCTCTGAATCTGTATACCGTTTGTTACTGTGTGTGTTGTGTACCAGGTTGGGAGTATGGCATCACCATTCCCCCTGATGACAAGCCCAAGTCCTGGGGAGCAGCGGAGAAGATGTACCACATCCACCGCAGGAAGAGACTCTTACGACCACGCAGGAAAATAGCAGACACTAAAGCAGCACCTGAGGTGAGAGGAGGAGGAAGAGGAGAAGGGGAGGGAGGAGGAGAAGGAAGAAGAAGAGGAGGAGGAGAAGTGGAGGGAGGAGGAGGAGGAAGGGGAGGAGGAGAAGGAAGAGGAGGAGGAGGGGAGGAGGGGGAGGAGAAGGAAGAGGCGGAGAAGGGGAAGGGGGAAGGGGGAAGAGGAGGAGAAGGGGAAGGAGGAAGGAGGAGGAGGAGGAGGGGAAGGAAGAGGTTATAGAAGAAGAGAGGAGGAAAATGTTTAGTGAGTGGAAGTGTGTGTGTGTGTGTGTGTGTGTGTATGTATGTGTGTCAATTTCAGGTGCTAAAGTTCTAGTTCTTACACACTGTCCACTGCCTCTCCGTTGATTCCACAGAGGCAGGATCCCGGCGAAGGCTGGGAATACTCGTCCTTGATTGGCTGGAAGTTCCACAGGAAGGAGCGTTCGTCTGACACATTCCGCCGTCGCCGCTGGAGACGGAAGATGGCTCCGTCAGACGGTATGGGAGCGTCAGCCATCTTCAGACTGGAGGGGGCGCTGGTTAGTAACCTCTTCTGAGTTCAAAAACAATTGACCACACAGGAAGGCTAGACTTAAACTAGACTCTCATACCACACAAAGTACATCAAAAGTGCTTCATTTTACAAATGTTGATTGTTCACGCGCAGAAGATTGACTATCAGTCATCCATTTTACAATCTCCCAGCTGTGTGACTAGGTTGTGGAGATAAATAATGTACTACTTTAGCTACAAAGGCTTTGGGAAACCCAGTCCATGTTAATAAAATGGGATTTGGCCAAGTGCCTTATAATGTGTTATCTTGATTATAATATCCTCTCATTATTCTCCTCCATCTGCCCCTTCCTGCCCAGTGATCCTGGTTGGCACAGCACTCAAAAGGCACAGATTAAACAGGAGTTGACTCATGCCCTATTTATTTATCCACAGTGTTGTGCTATTTGTGCTGCTGTACCATCATGGGCCCTATCCAGAAACAAACCTTAACCCCTAGTCCACTTCTGGAGATTCAAGAGGATTGGATAGATTTAAGCAATATCGTTATAGCTCCAGCGGGCCCTCTATAGGGGTCCAATAATCTAAAATCTTCTATGTGTCTAGGGGGTAGGGTCTAGGGTTTCTTTTTCTGGACAGGGCCATGGTTGTGTTGGTTGTGTTATTATGTCCTGATGTCATGTCATGATGAGCTTGTAATCAATGCAAATATTTTCATAATGCATGATCAAGATAAAGTCATAACTATAAAATAAAGACAAATGTATTCTACTTTCACCACTCTGGAATTACCCATCTCTCTAATGAAGGCCTTTCTAGTCCTGTTCTGAAGTGGTCTCTGTCTCTCTGGCTGCGTTTACACAGGCAGCCCAATTCTGATATTTTTCCCACTTATTGGCAAAAGAGCTAATCTGATTGGTCAAAAGACCAATTAGTGGAAAAAGATCAGACTGTGTAAACACAGCTTCTGTGTTTTGTCTATAGGGGGTAGATGTTGATGAGAAGGCCAGTAAGAAGGATGCAGCCAGACTGTTTGGTGCCAACACACCCACCGTTTCCTGTCATTTTGACAGTGAGTAACATTGCAGGCACTGATTAAGTGATTAAGGCTGTGGCCACACAGAGATAGATGAAAGAGTATGAAAAACACATATGCATCGTTCACGGTCCGGTTTGTCCATCAAAAAGCTAAACTAATTTACACATTTTGCATATGAGTTGCATACTTAACAAGATGGACAACATCAGCGTTTCATCTCCTTTGTTCGTGAAGGTATGACTCCACTAGAAAAACCACTGGCCCAAATGTTGTTGTTTTTCTACGGACAATCTCTGTCTGGCCGCAGCCTAAATGTTAATTTCTCCTCAGATTCCTCCACTCCACTGCCCTTCCTCTCAGGAAGTCTGGGCCCACACTTTTCAGATTACATTAAATCACTATCACTCTCTCCTCAGGGTCGTATATGTACCATCTGAGGGTGTATGTCTACCAGGCCAGGAATCTCATCGCCATGGACAGGGACAGCTTCTCAGGTGAGGAACACCATAAAAAAATATATTAAAAAAAGTAGATAAATGGATAGCTCACACATTAATTTTTGTAGCTTCTTTTCAACTTTCCAAGCGGGTTGTTAAATCCAAACCATTTGTTTGTTAGCTAGTTATTGAGCACCGTCCACAATCTCCTGGCTAGCACTTTTGAAGCATTTAAGCAATGCTAGTGGAAACATACTGGTTTGTTTCCACTAGCATTGCATGGGGAAAGAGAGAGGTGGAGGTGGAAGCATATCCCGATCCTCACAGCAGTTGTAATGAACCACTAGCTGATTAAATCAGTTTTATCAATACAATGACTGTGCTCTGGTCTCCTGGTTCAGATCCCTACGCCCATGTGTCCTTCCTCCATGTGAGTAAGACCACGGAGGTCATCAGGGCCACTCTGAACCCCATTTGGGACCAGACCCTCATCTTTAATGACATCGAGATCTATGGAGACCCCCAGACCATTGCACACAACCCCCCCAACGTGGTGCTGGAGCTCTACGACAGTGACCAGGTGGTATGTACCCTATCCTACCCTCACTTACAGTGAGGGAAAAAAGTATTTGATCCCCTGCTGATTTTGTACATTTGCCCACTGAAAAGAAATGATCAGTCTATAATTTTAATGGTAGGTTTATTTGAACAGTGAGAGACAGAATAACAACAAAGAAATCCAGAAAAGCGCATGTCAAAAATGTTATAAATTGATTTGCATTTTAATGAGGGAAATAAGTATTTGACCCTTCTGCAAAACATGACTTAGTACATGGTGGCAAAACCCTTGTTGGCAATCACAGAGGTCAGACGTTTCTTGTAGTTGGCCACTAGGTTTGCACACATCTCAGGAGGGATTTTGTCCCACTCCTCTTTGCAGATCTTCTCCAAGTCATTAAGGTTTCGAGGCTGATGTTTGGCAACTCGAACCTTCAGCTCCCTCCACAGATTATCTATGGGATTAAGGTCTGGAGACTGGCTAGGCCACTCCAGGACCTTAATGTGCTTCTTCTTGAGCCACTCCTTTGTTGCCTTGGCTGTGTGTTTTGGGTCATTGTCATGCTGGAATACCCATCCATGACCCATTTTCAATGCCCTGGCTGAGGGAAGGAGGTTCTCACCCAAGATTTGACGGTACATGGCCCCGTCCATCGTCCCTTTGATGCGGTGAAGTTGTCCTGTCCCCTTAGCAGAAAAACACATAATGTTTCCACCTCCATGTTAGATGGTGGGGATGGTGTTCTTGGGGTCATAGGCAGCATTCCTCCTCCTCCAAACACGGCGAGTTGAGTTGATGCCAAAGAGCTCGATTTTGGTCTCATCTGACCACAACACTTTCATCCAGTTCTCCTTGGAATCATTCAGATGTTCATTGGCAAACTTGTATACAGTCATGGCCAAAATTGTTGGCACCCCTGAAATTTTTCCAGAAAATGAAGTATTTCTCACAGAAAAGTATTGAAATTACACATGTTTTGCTATGCACATGTTTATTTCCTTTGTGTGTATTGGAATAACACAAAAAAAACAGGAAAAAAGCAAATTTGACATAATTTCACACAAAACTCAAAAAATGGGCCGGACAAAATGATTGGCACCCTTAACTTAATATTTAGTTGCACACCCTTTGGAAAAAATAACTGAAATCAGTCGCTTCCTATAACCATCAATAAGCTTCTTACACCTCTCACCCGGAATTTTGGACCACTCTTCTTTTGCAAACTGCTCCAGGTCTCTCATATTGGATGGGTGCCTTTTCCCAACAGCAATTTTAAGATCTCTCCACAGGTGTTCAATGGGATTAAGATCTGGACTCATTGCTGGCCACTTCAGAACTCTCCAGCACTTTGTTGCCATCCATTTCTGGGTGCTTTTTGAAGTATGTTTGGGGTCATTGTCCTGCTGGAAGACCCATGATCTCGGACGCAAACCCAGCTTTCTGACACTGGGCCCTACATTGCGACCCAAAATCCTTTGGTAATCCTCAGATTTCATGATGCCTTGCACACAGTCAAGGCACCCAGTGCCAGAGGCAGCAAAACAACCCCAAAACATCTTTGAACCTCCACCATATTTGACTGTAGGTACTGTGTTCTTTTCTTTGAAGGCTTCATTACATTTTCGGTAAACAGTAGAACGATGTGCTTTACCAAAAAGCTCTATCTTGGTCTCATCTGTCCATAAGACGTTCTCCCAGAAGGAATTTGGCTTACTCATGTACATTTTGGCAAACTGTAGTCTTGCTTTTTTATGTCTCTGTGTCAGCAGTGGGGTCCTCCTGGGTCTCCTGCCATAGCGTTTCATTTCATTCAAATTTCGACGTATAGTTCGCGCTGACACTGATGCACCCTGAGCCTGCAGGACAGCTTGAATTTCTTTGGAACTTGTTTGGGGCTGCTTATCCACCATCCGGACTATCCTGCGTTGCAACCTTTCATCAATTTTTCTCTTCCGTCCACGTCCAGGGAGATTAGCTACAGTGCCATGGGTTGCAAACTTCTTGATCATGTTGCGCACTGTGGACAAAAGAACATCTAGATCTCTGGAGATGGACTTGTAACCTTGAGATTGTTGATATTTTTCCACAATTTTGGTTCTCAAGTCCTCAGACAGTTCTCTTTTCCTCTTTCTGTTCTCCATGCTTAGTGTGGCACACACAGAAACACAATGCAAAGACTGAGTCAACTTCTCTCCTTTTTATCTGCTTTCAGGTGTGATTTTTAGATTGCCCACACCTGTTACTTGCCCCAGGTGAGTTTAAAGGAGCATCACATGCTTGGAACAAACTTATTTATCCACAATTTTGAAAGGGTGCCAATAACTTTGTCCGGCCCATTTTTTTAGTTTTGTGTGAAATTATGTCAAATTTGCTTTTTTCCTGTTTTTTTTTTGTGTTATTCCAATACACACAAAGGAAATAAACATGTGCATAGCAAAACATGTGTAATTTCAATACTTTTCTGTGAGAAATACTTCATTTTCTTGAAAAATTTCAGGGGTGCCAACAATTTTGGCCATGACTGTATGTGCTTTCTTGAGCAGGGGGACCTTGCGAGCACTGCAGGATTTCAGTCCTTCACGGCGTAGTGTGTTACCAATTGTTTTCTTGGTGACTATGGTCCCAGCTGCCTTGAGATCATTGACAAGATCCTCCTGTGTAGTTCTGGGCTGATTCCTCACCGTTTTCATGATCATTGCAACTCCACGAGTTGAGATCTTGCATGGAGCCTCAGGCCGAGGGAGATTGACAGTTCTTTTGTGTTTCTTCCATTTGCGAATAATCGCACCAACTGTTGTCACCTTCTCACCAAGCTGCTTGGCGATGGTCTTGTAGCCCATTCCAGCCTTGTGTAAGTCTACAATCTTGTCCCTGACATCCTTGGAGAGCTCTTTGGTCTTGGCCATGGTGGAGAGTTTGGAATCTGATTGATTGATTGCTTCTGTGGACAGGTGTCTTTTATACAGGTAACAAGCTGAGATTAGGAGCACTCCCTTTAAGAGTGTGCTCCTAATCTCAGCTCGTTACCTGTATAAAAGACACCTGGGAGCCAGAAATCATTCTAATTGAGAGGGGGTCAAATATTTATTTCCCTCATTAAAATGCAAATCAATTTATAACATTTTTGACATGCGTTTTTCTGGATTTTTTGTTGTTATTCTGTCTCTCACTGTTCAAATAAAACCTACCATTAAAATTATAGACTAATCATTTCTTTGTCAGTGGGCAAATGTACAAAATCAGCAGGGGATCAAATACTTTTTTCCCTCACTGAACTCTACCAGTTGTAGTGTATTAGCGACACTTAGTGGTGCAATACCAGCCGAGCACTATACATACATGTGATACACTGATGTACATGTAGGTGGTCAATGTGTGCGACCACCACTCAAGTACATTTCAATGATTCCCGTGAGTCCGAGTCAAGTCAATACATTACACCCATCAATTTCCATCCACTGCCTGTTCACCTGGACTTATTCACCTGTGTCCTGTTAAGTCACATCCAGCCCTGACTATTTCGATTGTGTCATATTGTAAGTTCAAGAATATTTCTGTCCCATTGTTTTTGACTAGTGCAAGCAGTTGATAGTTATCTAGCTATCTGTTATTCTTTTAAGCGTGTATCTCGGAAACATCTTGGGTGAGTGCACTGTTGTATTTATCTTTTCCTTTACGGTTACTCTTGTACTATTAGCTAGTTATTTTTTAAGGTTTTACTTGGAATTATCTGGATATGTGGTTGTTTTACCTACTTTAGTTGAATGCACTGATTGTAAGTCGCTCTGAAAAAGATTGTCTGCTAAATGTACTAAAATGTAAATGTAGATGCTACATATCCCTGTGCTGTGTCCGACTCTCAGGGTAAGGACGAGGCCATGGGTCGCTGTATGTGCCCACCTGTGGTGAAGCTGAACCCCGGCACGGCGGTCTCCCCCAAACTGCTGTGGTTCCCCGTCACCAAGAAAGGCCACAACGCTGGAGAGATGCTGGTGGCTGCCGAGCTATTGCTGAAAGACAAGGTAAAGTACTACCCAGCTAGCAAATAACATTATGAGAACTGTATGTTTCTTAGAGCTTGGTGAAAGCTTGGTTGTCCTATGGTTATTTTGCATACAACCTTCCCACAACTTTCTGTGAATGGTACAGGATAGTTGCTTGGCTGTGGAACATTCTCAGCATATTTAAGGAACCTGACAAAAAAACTTTATTTTCTTGGTATTTCATTACTTTAACAGAACGTTTCCTAAAACTTAAAAGATGGTTACATTTAATTAAAATGTTGGTAATGTTCTAGGTACATTCTCCAACTGGTTTGACATTGGGAATGTTCTCAAATAGTTCTGAGAACGTTAAGAAACAACGTTCTTCTGTGGGAATTTCAGTACTTCTGCACAGGGGTTGGAACCACAATTATTTTCCAATTGTTTCGTTCTGAACAGAACCATTATTTTTTTCCTTCCGTTCCACTGTTCCGACCAGCAAAATAAAGTTCTGAACTGGTTTGAACCCCAAAAAAGTAACGGTTTATATTGTTCCTTTCTAAACCTCTGAAATCTACATTTTTGTACTTTTAGCTTGATATTAAATTACTTCAGTAATGGATAGAGCAGCTTGCTATGGAGCGGGCAAGCTATGTACATGCATTGAACAGACGTGTAAGTGTAGTGTAGGGTGCGACATGCGACTGAAATTTTGCAGGTGAGGAGAGCACTGGGCATGAAGCGCTGGGCATCTTGTTGTTATGACATGTATTATCTAAATTAGACCCAAATAATTATTCCTAAGGAGCGGTTTCTATGAAGGAACTGATAATGTCTGAACTTCAGAGAGTTGGCTTAACTAACGTTGGACCAGAGCTAGCCCTTGATCATGACTCTCAGTTCCATTACATTACACATAATGCCACTTAGAGTTTGAGAGCTAGACCAGAGCTAGCTAGCTAACAAATTTGTGTGTGCAGAGCGGCACCAGAATTAAAATAAAAACAGGTCTTACCTTTTTGTAGTTAATAAATCCAATATGAAACATGATAATTATAGTATATTTAACTACAATTGAAAAACACTGCAATACGTTTCTTAGTAACAGTGAAGGCTTTGCAAAGGCTCTTTGTTGCGTTTTTTTGTGGGACTGCCCGGAAGGTAAATTTTTTTTAGTTATTTTATGTTTTTCTGTTCTGTTCCCTGAACCGGTTCCAACCCCTGCTTCAGCATAACGTTTCCTACAGGTTTCCTCATGGTTCTATTTAAAGTCATGTTCTCAAATTGTTCAGAGAACATTAAGAAAACTTTCCATAAAAGACACAAGAAAACTTTTGTAACATTCGGAGAACGTTCTAAGAATGTATGTAAAAAACATATACATTCCGTTTTCTCAGCATCAACACACCTGATCTTAATGAGTACTTGTTTCCTTTTAAATGGGGTCTGTTTAAATAGACTAAAATGAACAGCTTTGAATGAGTAAAAAGAACAATGGCATGCCATCCTGGTGGCGCAGGAGACTAACGCCATGAATAGAGAACAGAAGCTCATAGGTTCAAATCTCACTGATGCTGTGCCACAATACACAAATTAATGTGATTGCATGATTAATGCCTAAGCAAATTCATTGTCATGTGTCCTATCTGTGCTTAGAGTTCAAATCAGTTAACCCAATCTAAGCTAGCAGTTTTATTAAGTCTCAGAATGTTATTTAATTGCCTTCAAATAATCTAGAATTCAAATAAAATAAAATAAAATTGTATTTGCCACATGCGCCGAATACAACAGGTGTAGACATTACAGTGAAATGCTTACTTACAAGCCCTTAACCAAAAATGCAGTTAAAAAATAAAATAAAATAAAAATAAGTGTTAAGTAAAAAAAATTTAAGCAAATAACTAAAGAGCAGCAGTAAAGTAAAATAACAGTAGGGAGGCTATATACAGGGGGTACCGGTACAGAGTCAATGTGAAATAACAGTAGGGAGGCTATATACAGGGGGTACCGGTACAGAGTCAATGTGAAATAACAGTAGGGAGGCTATATACAGGGGGTACCGGTACAGAGTCAATGTGCGGGGGCACCGGCTAATAGAGGTAATATGTACATGTGGGTAGAGTTAAAGTGACTATGCATAAATAATAAACAGAGTAGCAGCAGCGTAAAAGAGGGTGATGGGGTGGGGTGGGGGGGCAGTGCAAATAGTCTAGGTAGCAATGATTAGCTGTTCAGGAGTCTTATGGCTTGGGGGTAGAAGCTGTTGAGAAGCCTTTTGGACCTAGACTTGGCGCTCCGGTACCGCTTGCCGCGCGGTAGCAGAGAGAACAGTCTATGACTAGGATGGCTGGAGTCTTTGACAATTTTTAGGGCCTTCCTCTGACACCGCCTGGTATAGAGGACCTGGATGGCAGGAAGCTTGGCCCCAGTAATGTACTGGGCCGTACGCACTAACCTCTGTAGTGTCTTGCGGTCGGAGGCCGAGCAGTTGCCATACCAGGCGGTGATGCAACCAGTCAGGATGCTCTCGATGGTGCAGCTGTAGAACTTTTTGAGGATCTGAGGACCCATGCCAAATCTTTTCAGTCTCCTGAGGAGGAATAGGCTTTGTCGTGCCCTCTTCACGACTGTCTTGGTGTGTTTGGACCATGATAGTTCGTTGGTGTTGTGGACACCAAGGAACTTGAAGCTCTCAACCTGTTCCACTACAGCCCGTCGATGAGAATGGGGGCGTGCTCAGTCCTCTTTTTTTTCCTGTAGTCCACAATCATCTCCTTTGTCTTGATCACGTTGAGGGAGAGGTTGTTATCCTGGCACCACACGGCCAGGTCTCTGACCTCCTCCCTATAGGCTGTCTCATCGTTGTCTGTGATCAGGCCTACCACTGTTGTGTCGTCTGCAAACTTAATGATGGTGTTGGAGTCGTGCCTGGCCATGCAGTCATGGGTGAACAGGGAGTACAGGAGGGGACTGAGCACGCACCCCTGAGGGGCCCCCTTATTGAGGATCAGCGTGGCAGATGTGTTGTTACCTACCCTTACCACCTGGGGGCGGCCCGTCAGGAAGTCCAGGATCCAGTTGCAGAGGGAGGTGTTTAGTCCCAGGATCCTTAGCTTAGTTATGAGCTTTGAGGGCACTATGGTGTTGAACGCCGAGCTGTAGTCAATGAATAGCATTCTCACGTAGGTGTTCCATTCTCAGAAAGTTTAGAAAACCTCCCAGGAACGTTTTCAGAGAACCATAATAAAACGTTCTCAGAACCTCCCTGCAATTTAAAAATTAGCGTTCCCAGAACAGGTGAAATTTTCACTTACGTTCTCAGAACGTTTAAGAAACGTATGGCTTTTTTTTCCCAAAACAAATGGGGAAGCAAAAATGTTCCCACAACTTCCAATGAAGCAAATATGCTAGCTGGGTAGTGCCCAGTGTTGTTTCCAAATGGTGACCATTCAAGGTAAAAGTAGCTCCTAACCACAGATCTAGGATCAGATTACTCTACCCCTAACCTCAAGCTCCAGGCAGGTGAAAAATATCTGTGTGTCAGTGGTTGGTGCAACTTCCACCAACTCCAGTCCAGGTCGAGTTACTGTAGAGCACTTTTTTTGTTTAAAAAATCACGATATAAAATACATTTGATTGATTTATTGATGTGTATTACTTTTAGGCCAATGAGAGTGACTTGCCCCTGGTGCCCCCCAGACGAGGAGCGACGCTCTACATGGTTCCCCAGGGAATCAGGCCTGTCGTACAGCTTACCGCCATCGAGGTGTGGCCTCAGGCAGCCTGCAACACCATCACACGCACACTTGTGCATGCATGAACTCATACACACACACACACACACACACACAGTCATATGTATGCACACATGACTGTAAGTCGCTTTGGATAAAAGCGTCTGCTAAATGGCATATTATATTATTATTATTATCATACACATGAACACGCACACACGCAAGCACACATGCACACACACACATTCTCCTCTGTGTTTCTCTTTCTCACAATCTCACACGTTTCTGTGTGTGAGCGTGTGTGCATACATGCACACTCGTGCTTGTGTGTGTGTGCGGTGTGTGTGTGTTGTGTCCTAGATCTTAGCCTGGGGTCTGAGGAACATGAAGACCTACCAGTTGGCCACGGTCACCTCTCCCAGTCTCATAGTGGAGTGTGGGGGGGAGGTCGTTCAGACGGCCGTCATCAAGAACATCAAGAAGAACCCCAACTTCCCCGGATCTGTCCTCTTCTTTAAAGTGGTACTGCAACTTCCCTTCAAACTCCGTGTACTGTATAACACTTCTCTTAATATATACTATTAATATCAAGGACTGGAAGGAAAAGAAAAATGCTCTCTCCGTAAACAAAGTGACTGATTCGCGAAAGGTGAAACAGCACCACTGGTCGACCAGCAGGAGTCCTGGAGGCAGAACTGAGTGATTTCCCCTTAGATAGGCCAGCTGCAAAGTCAAAATTGGCTATATTGTAAAAATTCATGAAAACTAAAATGTTTAATTTAAGGTTAGGGTTAGGCATTAGGGCTAGCAGTGTGGTTAAGGTTAGGTTTAAAATCAGATTTATAACTTTGTGGCTGTGCCAGCTAGTGACCACTCTGCAGAGCTGCCTCTAGAAAATGATTAATGGCAAAAAGCGCTAACCTGCGGTCTCCCCAGGCGCAATTGTTATTGTTTTTGTAACAGAGGAGATGAGCATCCAGCATCATGGTAAACAAAAAAATCGTATCGCGCCTGCAATGATGTGCAATGATGTCCGAAGCAAATAAACAGTGTTCGTTGTTTGAAATAACGTCTTTGTTGTTGTAATATCTCAAACAGACGTGGCAGTATCACCACTTCAGATTCCAGCTTTGAGGACCACAATTACTGGAATTTGCTGCATTTTCTATCCCAATAAATAATTACTTAGGTTGAAATGTTTGACAACCATTAAGATAAACCAGTTTAAATGTCTATGCATTTAAGCTCATTGATATTATGCGTTCTGTTTAATTGATTGATTGTGTTCGATTTGATCCTATAGTTTATGCACTAACTGTAAGTCGCTAAGAGCATCTGCTAAATGACTAATATGTATAGGTAAAATGTAGTTTCTGTATCACTGGTAACACTGTGTGAGTTGTCTGAACCAGGTTAACCCTAAACCCCCTGCCTCCTTTGGTCTACCCCCCCCCCGCCCCCGCCCCAGCTCCTACCCAAAGAGGAGATGTACACCCCTCCCATCGTTCTGAAGGTGATCGACCACCGGCCCTTCGGCAGGAAGCCCATCGTGGGCCAGTGTACCATTTACTCCCTGGAGGAGTTCCGCTGTGACCCCTACGTCACCAATGCTGAGGTGGCCATGTCTGCCAAAGGTACACACATACATTTACATTGTTAGTCATTTAGCAGAGCTCTTATCCAGAGCGACTTACAGTTAGTGAGTGCATACATTTTTCATACTGGCCCCCCGTGAAGGCATGAATGTATGTATGCACGAATGTGCACACACACACACACACACACACATCCACACACAACATTGCTAGAGTACTGTACTATATGTGTCACACATCTATTTACTACCCCCTTTCTTTTCTGTTGTGTATTACTTTATTAGTGGCCATGATGGCAGCAACTCAAGGAGACATCATCATTAACATGGAGGATAGGCCCATCCTTAATACTGAGGTAGCTACTGTAAAACTCAAAAAGGACTTTACAGAATGAGCTTGTCTTAGTGTTGTGTTATTTTATCAGAAATGTACCAGCACTGTAGCCTGGGTGCCAGGCTGTTTTCTGCTGTCTTGTAAGAATTGCTTGGCATGACAATGAGTGACAAAGAGTTGACAAGATAGCACAAAAAGATCTGGGACCAGGCTAGCAAAATTGTGTTGTGTGGTTACACATTCTGATGATTTTATTCTGTTTTTCTTCATAGCTCCACAAAGAGAAGGTGAGATTTTTCCTTTCTTTTATGAATACATATTATCAAGGATGGAAAGAATCAAATATTTGATGGCTTGTACACTCTTGACGGAGTCAAAATGTGCTGTTATTGAGGCTTATTTGAGTCTGCCTGTTTTGCAGGAGGAGGAGGCAGTTGACTGGTGGAGTAAGTTCTATGCCTCTGTGGGAGAGCACGAGAAGTGTGGGCCGTACCTCAAAAAAGGATACGACACCCTAAAGGTACAGTAAGAACGTTCTACCACTTCTGTCTCCATGACTGAAAGGTTTGAGTTGACCTGTTTGTTTCTTTCTATCTCATTTGTCTTACAATGGTCACAAGGATTGTACATAGGACTTTTTCTATCAATGTTTAACACCCACCTGAGTTTTTTACACGACAAGCAGTATAATGGCGATGCTGTGAGAAATGTGTGTTTTCTCATATGTATGAAGGTGTGTGAATTGTGTGTATGATCTCAGGTGTATCAGGGTTATACATACAGTCAGGTCCCAAATTATTGACACCCTTGATAAACATGAGAAAAAAATACTATAAAATAAATCATACAAATACAGAGCTATATTGTATGCTTAAAAAAATTGGTAAATTATATTATTTTATACTAATGCAATTGCTCAGAGAAAGAGTAAGTAATACAAAACATTTTTTTGATTGGAGAACACATTGGGAGGGATCTTAGACCATTCCTCCATACAGAATCTTTCTAGACAATAACCCCAAGCACACATCAAAATCCACAAAGAAATTGTTAATTGACCACAAAATCAACATCTTGTAATGGCCATCTCAGTCTCCAGACTTGAACCCCATTTAAAACCTGTGGTTTGAATTGAAGAGTCCTGCACGAAGAGTCCATAAGCGCAGATGAAGGATATCAAGGAACTGAAAATATTTTGTATGGAGGAATGGTCTAAGAATCCTCCCAATGTGTTCTCCAATCTCATAAAACATTTTAGAAAAAGGCTCAGCGTTATTATCCTCACAAGGGGAGGGTGCTGGGGTATTGAAAACAGGATCCAATAACTTTGACCCCCATCCTTTTTAGATTTTTTGTTATTATTTGTTAAACAAAATCTCTTTCTCTGAGCAAGTGTAATAGCATAACATTTCCCCCAAAATATGTACATACAATATACAGTGAGGGAAAAAAGTATTTGATCTCCTGCTGATTTTGTACGTTTGCCCACTGACAAAGACATGATCAGTCTATACTTTTAATGGTAGGTTTATTTGAACAGTGAGAGACAGAATAACAACAACAAAATCCAGAAAAACGCATGTCAAAAATGTTATAAATTGATTTGCATTTTAATGAGGGAAATAAGTATTTGACCCCTCTGCAAAACATGACTTAGTACTTGGTGGCAAAACCCTTGTTGGCAATCACAGAGGTCAGACGTTTCTTGTACACTGCTCAAAAAAATATAGGGAACACTTAAACAACACAATGTAACTCCAAGTCAATCACACTTCTGTGAAATCAAACTGTCCACTTAGGAAGCAACACTGATTGACAATAAATGTCACATGCTGTTGTGCAAATGGAATAGACAACAGGTGGAAATTATAGGCAATTAGCAAGACACCCCCAATAAAGGACTGGTTTTGCAGGTGGTGACCACAGACCACTTCTCAGTTCCTATGCTTCCTGGCTGATGTTTTGGTCACTTTTGAATGCTGGCGGTGCTTTCACTCTAGTGGTAGCATGAGACGGAGTCTACAACCCACACAAGTGGCTCAGGTAGTGCAGCTCATCCAGGATGGCACATCAATGCGAGCTGTGGCAAGAAGGTTTGCTGTGTCTGTCAGCGTAGTGTCCAGAGCATGGAGGCGCTACCAGGAGACAGGCCAGTACATCAGGAGACGTGGAGGAGGCCGTAGGAGGGCAACAACCCAGCAGCAGGACTGCTACCTTCGCCTTTGTGCAAGGAGGAGCAGGAGGAGCACTGCCAGAGCCCTGCAAAATGACCTCCAGCAGGCCACAAATGTGTCTGCTCAAACGGTCCCCAGACCTGAATCCAATTGAGCACATCTGGGACATCATGTCTCGCTCCATCCACCAACGCCACGTTGCACCACAGACTGTCCAGGAGTTGGCAGATGCTTTAGTCCAGGTCTGGGAGGAGATCCCTCAAGAGACCATCCGCCACCTCATCAGGAGCATTCCCAGGCATTGTAGGGAGGTCATACAGGCATGTGGAGGCCACACACACTACTGAGCCTCATTTTGACTTGTTTTAAGGACATTACATCCAAGTTGGATCAGCCTGTAGTGTGGTTTTCCACTTTAATTTTGAGGGTGACTCCAAATCCAGACCTCCATGGGTTGATACATTTGATTTCCATTGATAATTTTTGTGTGATTTTGTTGTCAGCACATTCAACTATGTAAAGAAAAAAGTATTTCATAAGATTATTTCATTCATTCAGATCTAGGATGTGTTATTTTAGTGTTCCCTTTATTTTTTTGAGCAGTGTAGTTGGCCACCAGGTTTGCACACATCTCAGGAGGGATTTTGTCCCACTCCTCTTTGCAGATCTTCTCCAAGTCATTAAGGTTTCGAGCCTGACGTTTGGCAACTCGAACCTTCAGCTCCCTCCACATATTTCCTATGGGATTAAGGTCTGGAGACTGGCTAGGCCACTCCAGGACCTTAATGTGCTTCTTCTTGAGCCACTCCTTTGTTGCCTTGGCCGTGTGTTTTGTGTCATTGTCATGCTGGAATACCCATCCACGACCCATTTTCAATGCCCTGGCTGAGGGAAGGAGGTTCTCACCCAAGATTTGACGGTACATGGCCCCGCCCATTGTCCATTTGATGCGGTGAAGTTGTCCTTTCCCCTTAGCAGAAAAACACCCCCAAAGCATAATGTTTCCACCTCCATGTTTGACGGTGGGGATGGTGTTCTTGGGGTCATAGGCAGCATTCCTCCTCCTCCAAACACGGCGAGTTCAGTTGATACCAAAGAGCTCGATTTTGGTCTCATCTGACCACAACACTTTCACACAGTTCTCCTCTGAATCATTCAGATGTTCATTGGCAAACTTCAGACGGGCCTGTATATGTGCTTTCTTGAGCAGGGGGACCTTGCGGGCGCTGCAGGATTTCAGTCCTTCACAGCGTAGTGTGTTACCAATTGTTTTCTTGGTGACTATGGTCCCAGCTGCCTTGAGATCATTGACAAGATCCTCCCGTGTAGCTCTGAGCTGATTCATCACCGTTCTCATGATCATTGCAACTCCACGAGGTGAGATCTTGCATGGAGCCCCAGGCAGAGGAAGATTGACAGTTATTTTGTGTTTCTTCCATTTGCGAATAATCGCACCAACTGTTGTCACCTTCTCACCAAGCTGCTTGGCGATGGTCTTGTAGCCCATTCCAGCCTTGTGTAGGTCTACAATCTTGTCCCAGACATCCTTGGAGAGCTCTTTGGTCTTGGCCATGGTGGAGAGTTTGGAATCTGATTGATTGATTGCTTCTGTGGACAGGTGTCTTTTATATAGGTAACAAGTTGAGATTAGGAGCACTCCCTTTAAGAGTGTGCTCCTAATTTCAGTTCATTACCTGTATAAAAGACACCTGGGAGCCAGAAATCTTTCTGATTGAGAGGGGGTCAAATACTTATTTCCCTCATTAAAATGCAAATCAATTTATAACATTTTTGACATGCTTTTTTCTGGATTGTTTTGTTGTTATTCTGTCTCTCACTGTTCAAATAAACCTACCATTAAAATTATAGACTGATCATTTCTTTGTCAGTGGGCAAACATACAAAATCAGCAAGGGATCAAATACTTTTTTCACTCAATGTAGCTGTGTTTGTATTATTTATTTTATACAGTGTTTTTTGGTCATCTTTATTGAGGGTGCCAATACATTTTGATTTGTGTCTGTGTCTGTGTATCTGTGTGTGTCTTAATGTATTTCAGGTTGTGTGATATATGTGTTTGTCCTCAACATATGAAGGTATGTGTCCTCTCATGTGTCTAACAGTGTGATACGTGTGTGTTCTCACAGGTGTATGAAGGTGAGCTGGAGGAGGTCCCAGAGTTCCGAGGGCTGACAGATTTCTGCAAAACGTTCCGACTGCAGCGGGGGAAGACTGAGGAAGAGGAGGATGACCCCTCAGTGGTCGGAGAGTTCAAGGTGATCACAGACCTCTTTTTCTTAAGAATGTAGCTCAGTTGGTAGAGCATGGCGTTTGCAACGCCAGGGTTGTGGGTTCGATAAAATAATGTATGTGCTAACTGTAAGTCGCTCTGGATAAGAGCGTCTGCTAAATGACTAAAATGTAAATGTAAAATGTACACGTCATCCTGTTAAGATATATTTTCAAGGGAGTCCTGTCCAGAGCCCGTTTTCAAAAAGTGTCTCAGAGTATGTTCTGATCTTATTCATTATGATCATTATTATCTAAAAGGGAAATCAGCACTCCGACTCTGCTCTCTACACTGATCCTGTATACATGCATAACAGGCATAACGCCCAACTATCCGCAGTGATCCCCCGTGAACATCGGTATTAAAAGCATTTTCTTGCCACCTTGTGGCCTTTGGAGTTCCTACCAGGTTGCTCTCGCTAACAGATGCAGTCTTTTTTTGTGTGTGTGTCAGGCCACAGCATATGGAGGGTTATCTGTGCCAATTCTAAAATGCAGTGCTTAAATTCTAAATTCACTCAGAAGAAGGAGACTGGGGGCCTTTTAAAGCCCTGTACATACAGCTGGTGGGGGGGAAAAAACTATGTTATGTAGAACCAATGATAAAACGTCCTTATTTTCTCCACTCTAAATGTGAACCCAACCTAAGTATTGACACCAAGCCTGTTTTTGACCCCTGACCCTGCTGGTGTGTCCTGTCCTGTAGGGCTCGTTCCGGGTGTACCCCCTATCTGATGACCCAGAGGTGCCAGCCCCGCCGCGCCAGTTCAGAGAGCTGCCTGAGAGCGGGTTGCAGGAGTGCCTGGTCAGGATCTACGTGGTGCGATGCATGGACCTGCAGCCTAAAGACAACAACGGCATGGTGAGTGTGTAAGGGTTGGTGTGAGGTGTGACCCAGGTGCGGTGCAGGATAGACAGTAGGCAAGGATGGTGAAACAAGGATCTTTACTGGTGGTCTAAAAACCATTATACAAAACAACGGACTATACACGAAAACAAATGAGGAGCACATAGGTCTCCAAAAAACAGGCTGACAGCAAACAATATGAAATACTAACTCTAACTGGAAAAACACAATGACACAGGGAGAACACTTCTCGTTCCTGTAACTCCGTCACGTGATCCAACACTGATACATACTGCTTGACATCAAGAAACTAGCAGAGAAAACTGAGCAAGGGAACACAGGGAAGTGAGGGTATAAATACACAGGTGAATCAGATAGCCACAGGTGACACCAATAGGCAGATAATTAGTCCCGACTGTGAGTGAGGAGGTACCTATGGTTGTCGGAGGATGACACCTAGTGGGTCGCTCCGGAACTGCGACACACTCCTGTAACATGAGTGGACGCCAAACACAGTCTAAGAGACTCTACACACTGAGAACACTTCAAACACGATGCTGGATCAGGCGTATGTCAAAAGCTGAATTAATTTCAACTTTCAGCTGAGCGTTTCTGCAGCGCATATACATTTGTTTGCCCCTCCCCTTCACCAACCAACTGTTCTCATTAAAATACATGACTTATATAGCCTTTTCCCACACTAATACCATATTTCAACATTTGTGTTTGTTTTTGCTTTTTAGTGTGACCCTTACATCAAGATCTCTTTGGGGAAGAAAACAAAAGATGACAGAGATGACTACAAACCAAACACCCTCAATCCAGAGTTTGGCAGGTAAAATACAGTAGTAGTTTTAACTAAAACCTTCACTTATAGAAAACTGTCAAAATGCCACTGAGACTGTTGAATGAATTAATTGGATGGATGGATGGATGTATAATTCATTAATTAATTATTTGAATATAAGTTTCGCCAATTAACATGCATGCTCCACCAAGTAATGTGGATGTGGCGTTTTCCTTAGAAGACCTAAGAAAACTAGGTTTAGTAGAAACCTGAGAAAACTCCTTTTTTCTCCTACTCGGTGCCCCAACCTAAGCATGTAAAAGTGTTTTGCATGTGCTGGGTCTGCCCTGTCCTGTCTGGCTCATTTACGTTACACCTTTGATTACAGACGCTCTCACCCCAGACGCCGACCAGTTAGGGAGTGCCTGAAGGGCAATTTCCCAGGAGTGCCTTTCAGGGATCTACATTGGTGCATGCACCTAGCCATAAACACAAAATACGTTTTTGGTGGGTGGTGGGTGTGGTGTAAAAGGTTTTACACCAGGTGCCGGTGCGGGTTAAAGTAGGAAGGTGGTGATGACTCCGCTGTACTGGTGGCAGAAACCGTTCACCAAAAGGGCCATACACGAAAACAGTTTTGAGGGAGCACATAGGTTCCGCAAAAACGGGGGATGCCAGCAGGCCAATATGAAAGCATGCCTCGCCGGGGGAAACACAGATGAAAGGGGGCCTTCCTCAGTTCCTGGCAACACCAGGTCAACGGGGGATTCCCAACACGGGAAAACCAGTGAGTGCTGGAGATCAAGAAACTGGAAAGTGAAACATGAGGGGCTGGGAACTCGGGAAATTTGAGGGGTTAATGGCACAGGGAACGGGGAAGCCCAGCAACAGCGAGGCAGAAAATTATCCCGAGATAAAAGTGGGATAGGACCTGTGGTTCGGTGGTAACCTAGGGGTCGACTCTGGAATGTCGTAGACACTGAACATGGGGTGGACGCCAAAAACAGTCAAGAGGTTGTCCACACGAAGCACTTCGCACTGCTGGAGGATGTCAAAACTGAGTTTTTCAACCGTGAGGCGAGATATAAAGGGCCCCTTTCCCCGGGAGGAAAGCAGCTTTTCTTCCATTCAAGCTACATGACTTATATACCTGTTTCCCAAATAATACCGATTCAACCTTTGAGTGGTTGTTTTTGTTGTTAGTGTGACCCTACAATTCAAGAGCCTTTGGGGATATGACAACAAAGGATGATAGGGATGACTAAGAACCTAGAACACCTCAATCCAGAGTTTGGCAGGTAAAATACAGTAGTAGTTTTAACTAAAACCTTCACTTATAGAAAACTGTCAAAATGCCACTGAGACTGTTGAATGAATTAATGAATTAATGGATGGATGGATGAATTAATTAATTAATTAATTAATTAATTAATTAATGCATGAATTAATGGATGGATGAATGAGTTTTATTTAGAAATGTATAAAGTTGTTTCAGCCAAGTGAAATTAACAATGCACACAGAAGTGTCTCTCACCAAGTCAACCTCATCTCTTCCTCTTGTGTCAGGATGTTTGAGCTGTCCTGTTTCCTCCCTCAAGACAAAGACCTGAAGATAGCCGTGTACGACTATGACTTGCTCAGCCGAGATGAGAAAGTGGGAGAGACGGTCATTGACCTGGAGAACAGACTCCTCTCTCGCTTCGGTTCCTACTGCGGCCTGCCGCAGTCCTACTGCATGTGAGTGTGTATGTGCATGTGTGCGTGTGTCTGTCTGTCTGCGTCTGTCTGTCTGTACAACTGTCAGTTCTACAGGTCTCTCTGTCCAACTTTCCCACTGTGTCTCTGATCCGTTTCATTTATAATTCATGCCTTTAAATTGCCTGTAGTTGCCCAGTTCAGCTCAACTTTTATTCTGGCCTAATCCAGCCCCCACTAGAGAATGCTATTGTATCATATGATATCATAATTATATAACATTACAAAACAGCTCAGGGACCAACCAGTGGAGGGATCAGCTGAAGCCCTCCCAGATCCTGGAGAACCTGGCCAGACTGAGAGGGATCCCTCCACCCCACAACACCGCTGACGGCAGCACGCTCTCCTTCGGGGGGAGAGACTACAGTCTGCTGGACTTTGGTAAAGTAAACCACTCAGTAGCAAACCACACGTTGTTAGCTAGGCAAGGATTGTGTTAATAGACCTCCTTGTAAACCATCCATTTCAATGGGAGATTTGCCCAAGAAGTTAGTATTCAACCCTTTGAGGTACATTCAGTTCTATTAGAGGAGTTCCACAGATAAAACATAATTAATTTTTGAAAAATTCTGAGTGACAAATTCTTATATTTGGCATTTGGCATTTTACTTCAACCACAACATAGTGAATGTATTAGTCATCTGAACATCAACCCAAACTTCTGTCTCCTGACTGAGTTGTGTGTCCTGTCGCTAGAGGCCAACAGAGTCATCCACCAGCACCTGGGTCCAGCCAGGGAGAGGATGGCCCTGCATGTCCTCAGGAAACAGGGTCTGGTACCAGAGCATGTGGAGACCAGGACTCTCTACAGTTCTTACCAACCTACACTGTCACAGGTTAGTACCTTATTAGCTTGTTTTATAAATAGTTTATAAATAATGTATTCATGCTTATTCATGAACGTTATTATAAAGTGTCTCCTAACTGCCCTTATGAAACGTCCAAACATTGTACTGCATTATCAGGCCACATTATCCAAGAAAAAAAAGAAGGAAAAAAAGAAATGTCTATATGAGGTGTTTGTTTGTTGTGTGACAACATGACGTCTAGAGCAGTGCTTCTCAAACCTCTCCTCTGGGACCCCCAGACGTTTCACAATTTGGTTGTAGCTCTGAACTAGCACACCTGATTCAAGAAATAAGGGCTTGATGTTGATGTTTAGTTGACAAGTTGAATCACCTTTGCTAGCTCTGGGGGGTCCCCAAGGAGAGGTTTGAGAAAGGCTGGTCTAGAGAATACTTACCAATTGTATTGGCTCTCACTCTCCCCATCTGTAGGGAAGGATTCAGATGTGGGTGGACATCTTCCCGAAGAGCCTGGGTTTACCGGGACCTCCCTGCCACATTACTCCACGCCAAGCCAAGAAGTGAGGGCCTTCATACATTACAAATTAATACTAGATTAGTTTTTAAAGATCCTGCACAGTCAAGTCATGTTTTTCATCATATTTGATAACATTTGGATGAAACCAGATCAAAGTAGGATGACCAAAGTACGATGACTGTTGCTGGTATATTGATAAAGTTTTATCATAAACTTACTGGCTTCCTCCTCTGTGTTAAAAATGTGAACTTAGGAGGCGGGGTTAATGGAGGCTTTATGTGACATTACATAAAGCCTAATTTTAATACACCAATGGTAACGTCTTATTCTCTTACCTAATTTAAATAAGTACCACCTTGTAACCATCATCATGGAGGGGAGAGGTTTACATAGCTAGCTATTCTATTGGTGCCAAAATTTGACTGCAGGGTGTCAGCAAATATAATTGCTGTTTTCCCCTATTCATCTATGGCAAAGATACTTATAGGTTTCCTCTTTCATTTGTGTCTGGCGTTAGATAGTTAATGGCTAGCTAGGTCTTCAGCCAGCATGGGGAAAAGGGGGGAAGGGTCGTTCAAAACTCCTGCGCAGTTGTCATGTCAACACATCTGTCAGTGCTGCTGCAAACTGCGACAGAAGAGACATGCCAAATGGGAGATAATTATTAATCATTGTTAGTCATAGTTTATGAGCATGGTCTCGCAGTCAATATTTATATTTTATGAGGTGTACCCAGACCTCACCTTGTCCAGTTTCAACTGAAATTGTCCAAGATGAACTAGCTAGCTAGCTTGATAAAATAGTGCTCACAATTCCATCTTCGTTAGCTAACTAAATTATACAGCCATCATTATGTATATATTGATGCTGTTACAATAACCAAACAATTGGAAAAACAAATAATTTGTGAAACCATGATGTATGACAGGATTGGATGTTGCATGCAATTTCAATGTTGTTTGAGTTGCTTTGTGTATCAGCAGATTTGCTTGAGATGATCTCACTGCAACATTGCTCACTGTGTCCAAGTTTCTTGACATAGGTGTTTCAAAGAACTGTCAGTCAAGGTGAACTCCCCATCCACTCAGCCTATTAGCTCCCCGCCCACTCAGCCTGTCTTTTCACCTGATAGTTAGACATGAGAGAGAACATACATTTCGGTCACTCATAAGGCTATTTTACATGGGAATCAGGATAACTGTGCGTGAATTGTGTCAATCTCATAGACAGTCTGTCCTTGCATTCTCAGCTCTGCCTATTACTTTGCGTAGTTACATCCCCACCCCATACCTTTACATGTACCAAACAAAGTGACAGTGTCAGGCTGTTTATTGAAATGGCAGATTGAGCCTTTAAGTGTATGATGTTTTTCAACAGGTACTTCCTGCGGGCTATCGTCTGGAACACCACTGATGTCATTCTGGATGAGACCAGCATCACCGGAGAGGAGATGAGTGACATTTATGTCAAAGGGTACGGCTACTCAATGGTACAGTATTGAGTGATTGGCTACTCATATGGATCATACTGTATTGCTGATCAAGCAAGGGTAGTGAACCCTACATTTTAAGTGTGCAAAAAAGAAGTGAAAACCCTGTGACCAGCTGTCCATCTACTTTAGATCCAGGTGCTGGTTCTAGCAGGAAAACCTAGGTGTCCAAAACAAATATAAAAAAATACACACAAGTAAAGACACGACCAACCTTCACTTCACATTCTTATGTTGAAATGTTTTCATTTTAGAGTGCATGAGAGTGTACCCCATTGCCTACTCGATTGGTGGCATACACAACAGTAAACAGGGAATTGATAGAGAAACAATCATGTATTGTTGATAGAGTAAATAGGCCCTAGAGCAGGGGTGTCAAACTCATTTTGGCCCGGAGGCCGCATTCGGTCTTCAACGAAGTCTAAAGGGACGCACTGAACATTTGTTATATTTCCTTGGCGTCAAAATTGGCAAAAAAGTGTCCTCTATCCATAATTTTGGGAATTTCTGATGCTCCCTGACAGTCTAGCTTTCATTCCGGTGATTATTAGCGAGCTGGACACAGTCAAGAAACTGTATGAATGTAGGTCCATTATCATTTCTACACAGTTTCAATTTTCAAGTATATTGAGTTTCTTTCCCCCCACACATTTTTTTTAGTCCAAAAACAAATAAATATATATTTTGTTTTAACTCAAACACCCCTGCCTTAGTGTTTAAGTCCAGCTGAAACTGGACTATGCTTTGAGGCACTTAATCGACCTGTATCTCAGCCCAGACCTATCACTAGCTATCTAAAGTGAGAAACAGTGTGACGGTTTGTTTATTTGCAGATGGATGCCTGGTATGGAGGAGGACAAGCAGAAGACAGACGTCCACTACAGATCCCTGGATGGTGACGGCAGCTTCAACTGGCGATTTGTCTTTGGCTTTGACTACCTACCCGCAGAGCAACTGTGCCTCGTTTCCAGGAAAGTGCGTTTGAAGAGATGTATTTAATTATTTATTGCTTTTATTTGACTATAATATAATGCTATACGCCATTTAGCAGACACTTTTATCCAAAGCGACTTAGTCATGCGTGTTGTGCATACATTTTATGTATGGGTGGTACCAGGAATCGAACCCACTATCCTGGTGTTGCAAGCACCATGCCCTACCAACTGAGCTAACACATTCGCTTTTACAATTGCGACCTGAAGTGAAGCATTATGACAAATTAAGTCAAAGTTTGACAATAAATAATAGTTGCAGAAACATATACAGTGGGGGAAAAAGTATTTAGTCAGCCACCAATTGTGCAAGTTCTCCCACTTAAAAAGATGAGAGAGGCCTGTAATTTTCATCATAGGTACACGGCAACTATGACAGACAAAATGAGAAAAAAAAATCCAGAAAATCACATTGTAGGATTTTTAATGAATTTATTTGCAAATTATGGTAGAAAATAAGTATTTGGTCAATAACAAAAGTTTCTCAATACTTTGTTATATACCCTTTGTTGGCAATGACACAGGTCAAACGTTTTCTGTAAGTCTTCACAAGGTTTTCACACACTGTTGCTGGTATTTTGGCCCATTCCTCCATGCAGATCTCCTCTAGAGCAGTGATGTTTTGGGGCTGTCGCTGGGCAACACGGACTTTCAACTCCCTCCAAAGATTTTCTATGGGGTTGAGATCTGGAGACTGGCTAGGCCACTCCAGGACCTTGAAATGCTTCTTACGAAGCCACTCCTTCGTTGCCCGGGCGGTGTGTTTGGGATCATTGTCATGCTGAAAGACCCAGCCACGTTTCATCTTCAATGCCCTTGCTGATGGAAGGAGGTTTTCACTCAAAATCTCACGATACATGGCCCCATTCATTCTTTCCTTTACACGGATCAGTCGTCCTGGTCCCTTTGCAGAAAAACAGCCCCAAAGCATGATGTTTCCACCCCCATGCTTCACAGTAGGTATGGTGTTCTTTGGATGCAACTCATCATTCTTTGTCCTCCAAACACGACGAGTTGAGTTTTTACCAAAAAGTTATATTTTGGTTTCATCTGACCATATGACATTCTCCCAATCCTCTTCTGGATCATCCAAATGCACTCTAGCAAACTTCAGACGGGCCTGGACATCTGGCTTAAGCAGGGGGACACGTCTTGGCACTGCAGGATTTGAGTCCCTGGCGGCGTAGTGTGTTACTGATGGTAGGCTTTGTTACTTTGGTCCCAGCTCTCTGCAGGTCATTCACTAGGTCCCCCTGTGTGGTTCTGGGATTTTTGCTCACCGTTCTTGTGATCATTTTGACCCCACGGGGTGAGATCTTGCGTGGAGCCCCAGATCGAGGGAGATTATCAGTGGTCTTGTATGTCTTCCATTTCCTAATAATTGCTCACACAGTTGATTTCTTCAAACCAAGCTGCTTACCTATTGCAGATTCAGTCTTCCCATAACTGATAACAAGTTCAAACAGGTGCCATTCATACAGGTAACGAGTGGAGGACAGAGGAGCCTCTTAAAGAAGAAGTTACAGGTCTGTGAGAGCCAGAAATCTTGTTTGTTTGTAGGTGACCAAATACTTATTTTCCACCATAATTTGCAAATAAATTCGTAAAATTCCTACAATGTGATTTTCTGGATTTTTTTTTCTCAATTTGTCTGTCATAGTTGACGTGTACCTATGATGAAAATTACAGGCCTCTCTCATCTTTTTAAGTGGGAGAACTTGCACAATTGGTGGCTGACTAAATACTTTTTTCCCCACTGTATGTTGGGCAGATGTTGAGTTCCAGACTAACATCCAAAAGTGTTTTGTTTTTGTTTGTTGTCAGGAGCATTTTTGGAATCTGGACCAAACCGAGTTTCGGACCCCCCCAAAGTTGATCGTCCAGATTTGGGACAATGACAAATTCTCACTGGATGACTACCTGGGTAAGATATATTTATTTCCTCTGATCTAAAGTAACTGATACAAAGTGTTCCTCTTTTTAACATCACCAGATGTCCCCAAACATCTGACAGACAGACTGACTGACTGACTCATTGAATGAATTAATGTTTATTGTCCATCAAGACAATAACAAGAAACATCCATCAGCATCTGAAAACCAGTCTTATTTAAACCCAGGTCTGCAATACATAACAGATAACGGTGAGTAGGAAATGTGAGAAGGAAACGTTGATATAAAGGGATTGCTAATCCAGTTTGTGTTGCATTTGGGACACAGGCACAGTTGAGCTGGACCTGCTCCATCTGATCCCCCCTGCCAAGACCCCTGAGAAATGCAGTCTGAAAATGTTGCCAGGGGTTACAGGCTTCACCCCTTCCAAACAACCACAGCCCAACTCTCTGTTCTCCCAGAAGTCTGTGCGGGGCTGGTGGCCCTGTATGATAGAGCAGGACGGGAAGCACATCCTGGGTGTAAGTCCTGTTGTGAAATTGAAAGAACAAATTGCAAATTCTAAGTTAATTTCCCAATTTTGCCTTGAGTAGAGAAAATGTTGCTGATTTAAATACATTTTTCTGCAATTCTACACATTCTGCCATGGGGCGTAGAGAATATTTTGCAGTTGAAAGCTAATTTACTGCAATTCTACACATATTTCCATGACTTATGCCACGTTCATACAATATCTGGATGAGAGCGACTAACAAAAGTAATTTAGCAGACGCTCTTATCCAGAGCGTCTTACAGGAGCTCAGCTCAAGGACATGTCAGATTTTTCGCCTAGTCAGCTCGGGGATTTGAAACAGCGAACTTTCGGTTACTGGCCCAACTCTCTTAACCGCTAGGCTACCTTTGTGCCTCCAAAATGATTGGAGGAACACTGCTGATGCACTACCAAATTTCAAAATTGCACCTTGTGTTTTCTACTATTTTAACTCTCAACAGTAAGTTGAGACTGACACTGACCTAGCGTCCATTTATGTTGATTATCGGTAGGGCCCCTGCGGACAACACACACACACGAACAGAACACACGCACACACACCAACCTTTCCCATTGGAAAGTTACTATAACTGTGGTATGTGGTTGTCGTACCTAGCTACCTTAAGATGAATGAAAGCCGCTCTGGATAAGCCTAAAATGTAAATGTAAAATAAGCTAATACAGATTTCCTCAAAGGAAATTTGTATAGTTGATCATGTGTCATTGTGAATGAATTGATAACCAGAAATGCCTGCGCATAGGCGACAGTATTTAGTCACTTTGATCCTTTGCACAGTATTGATAAACAGAATGACGTGAAAGTCACAAGCTTTAGGGCTAAATGTGTTTATAGATCACAGAGACGATGGATGAGAAAGTCTGTGGCGTGTTCATGACTGTCTCTGTGTTCCCATAGGGGAAGGTGGAGATGACCCTGGAAATAGTGGAAGAGAGGGAGGTAGAAGAGAGGCCTGCTGGGAAGGGCCGGGACGAACCCAACATGAACCCCAAACTAGACTTTCCTAAGTAAGACCACATCCACAAGTTACCTTTCAACCACCTATGACAATAACATTGTAGCTTGTCCATTGTAAGTAGAATGTTTTAACATACTAACTACATAGTGCTATAACATTCAGTGACGAAATGCACCAAATAAGAGTCTACATTTCAAACTGGGCTTGCCTCGGCCCACGCATGGTTACCCTCCCCCCTTTTAGAACACAATGTAACATCAAGTCAAATGGATGAGCTCCCAGAAAAATGTGTTTTGTTGTTTCTCTCCCCATACAGTCGCCCCGACACTTCCTTCTTCTGGTTCACCAGTCCATGCAAGACCATGAAGTTCATCATATGGCGCAGATTCAAATGGATCTTCATTGGTTTGATAGTCCTCCTGCTTGTGCTCTTGTTCCTTGGGATCCTGCTGTACTCCCTACCAGTAAGATATATGTCCTTGTAATCTATAATACTAATATATCTATGCCACTTAGAAGACACTTTCATCCATAGCAACTACAGTGAGTGCATAGTGCATACATTTGTTGTGTTTGTATGTGATCATTAAATCCAACCTTACCAATTCAACAAAACTGGGTATCTTCATGCATATAGTGTAGACAGGCAACGTGGCATCATTCCTTTGATAGGCTGAATTGCAACATAATATGGTAAAATTAAGCATACCTCTGCATTTATTTGATCTGATAATAGAGTGCAATATTGCAATAATTCTACTCCACTAATGCATCTTACATATGAATATAGCAGATGATTTAACCTTACTTTAAATCAAGTCAAGATGTGTTTTACTAATTAAATGTTTTCTCTTGCCTCTCCAGAACTACATCTCAATGAAAATTGTGAAGCCTTTCTCTTAGGAATTACTCATCGGAGCAGCTGAGTACTATGCTTGTCTTCGTCCAAGGGATAAGGCGACAGAAGTCTTGACACTCAGGCCCTCACAAACTCTATGCAATGTATTCCTATCAGTTTTGTCTTCAGAGTGGCATGCATTATTTATATTTTTACACTTTATCAAGGCTGCATTGTAAGTTTTTATAATGCTGCTTAATGGTTTTTTTGCACTCACTTGCATTAAATACTGTAGCTACACAGCCCTTTTAACTGTACAGTACTTGTACTGTCCTTACCTGTCTGTCTTTCCCTGCAATACCAAAAGGGAAAGGAGATACCTAGTTAGTTGCACAACTGAAGGCATTCAACCAAAATGTGTCTTCCACATTTAATCAAATGCTATTTTGTATGCATGCTTTACTAAACCTAATATAGAGATTTTGTCATCACTGAGAGAACGAACTACTAACAACAAACACTGTTGTTGTGGCTTCAAACAATGTCCCAACATTCTAATAGGCCACTTCCTTTGACACCTTACAGAGAGGGTCCCAACGCATTTCCAACAAAGGACATGAGATAATTTCTTGGTTGCAACAAAAATCACATTTAATTTACTCACAGAATGTCCAGGTATGTCACACATAATAAAGCAAGCATGGTTTCCACGTAAGCATAGACAGTTTTACTCACATTGTAATGAATTATAGGTCATATTTCATAGAAATCTGGAAACACTGGACAGTTACTTTAAAGTAGTCAATTTATTCTTATTCTACTTCTATGAGTTGGTAAACAGACTTAAAGTGTGCATACTGCCACCTGGAGTGTGTTTTCTGAACAGGTATAAAGCCAAGGTTGGTGATTTACTGCCACCTGCAGTTCTGGAATGTTTCCTCAGGAGTATAATTAATTGGCTGGTCCCTCCTGATTACCTGGATGAAATCATGTGATCCTTCCTTAATTTAACCCATAGGAAGTCCCAAACAGCTGACTACTTTCAAATGGTGAAAGCCCTCAATGGCAATGTTCATGGTGAAACAGGTTATATCCATCCAGAGTCCTCTTTCTACATCTATGGGTTCCACTGACATATATCTTAGCTTTAACCCATAATTGGCCACAAGGTTGTCATAATAGCAAATAAAAAGATTTCCATATAAACAGTTTCCTATGTGACTAATAACTTTAACATATACAAAATGGCATTAACAACTGTTGTGTTTAATATTTCATTTATATCAACAGGCTTTTCAATGTTTTAATAAAGAACAATGATTATGTACAACATTGGCGGTTGGGGATTTACTGTAAATGTTTCTCTCCTGAAGGCAGCGTTTTAGATCACTTACTGACACGTGGCTGGTGTAGCGTTAGTTCCGCAGCCCTGCGGCACACTTGGCTAAAAGTGTCTAAATAGGTTTGAATCTGGCCTACTGCCCTTTGTCACAACCATAGATTGTGTTACTATACTGTGTCAGTACTCAATCAATCAATAGATTATTACACCAATTAATTGATTGGCTGAATAATCTATTGGCTCACTTTCAGCAAACTCAAGTCAGGCATAGCACATTAAGTTCTATAACTTGTATTGGTGATTCTACAGAAGTGGTTCAAATTGCTGTCCCCAATCAAAAATACTATTAGAAAAACCCAGATAAGTCTTTAAACTTTGATTTATTTACTTTGAAATCTATTTATATCATGATATATTCTAATTCATTCCAAGACCATTACAAACATCGTTAAATTAATATAGTACAAAGTCATTGTTTAAATACCCATTCCTATTGAGAGGTGGCTGTCCCCACACCCTGACTCCTAAAATTCATGTTTGAAAATAAAACAATTAATTATTTTTGTAACACTTTTATCACATCTTGAGTTAGTTAGTATTATTACATTGAAGGATACTGACCTAATTAGTACACTCTTAGAAAAAAGGGTTCCAAAGAGGTACTTTGCGGAAGGACAGGGTTGTACCAAGAACCATTTATATCTGAAGAAGCCTTATTGGAAGACAAGGGTTCTTTATAAGGCAAAAGGTTCTACCTAGACCCGTGGTTACCGTGGTTACCCCATTGTCTCACAGCAAAAACTCCACCTTTTTGCTACCGACCAGAACATTGAGCTAGCCAAGACTAACAACACAAATAAATAATAAATAAAATAAACGAGTTAAATGTCTTACCTGTGATTAAATGTTTTCCACACACATAGCTACGTGTAGCCTACGTGGACACCGAGTTCCCACAATTTCCCGCTCTTCCACACCGAATAGCCTGACGCCACAGGGCTCTTCTCGCATGATCTATTTCCGTACGTGGGAGCATTGTGAACCGTAGGTCGGGATTTTTGACATAGTTACATGTACAACAACACAGCATCTTTTCGCCATGTTTTGTTATTTCTATATTACAAAAAATCGATGATGAAGTTAGGCTCTTTTACAATGGGGGTCAATGGGAAAGAATGTTTGTTTCCCCCAATTTGTGGGTGTGGTCGAGGGGAATTCCTTATGGCGTGAATATCGACCATCGAGTATTTGGGAATATTTGAATATGTACAGTACCAGTCAAAGGTTTGGACACACCTATACATTCAAGGGTTTTTCTTTATTTTTACTATTTTCTAAACTCAGCAAAAAAAGAAACATCCTCTCACTGTCAACTGCGTTTATTTTCAGCAAACTTAACATGTGTAAATATTTGTATGAACATAACAAGATTCAACAACTGAGACATAAACTGAACAAGTTCCACAGACATGTGACTAACAGAAATGGAATAACGTGTCCCTGAACAAAGGGGGGGTAAAAATCAAAAGTAACAGTCAGTATCTGGTGTGGCCACCAGCTGCATTAAGTACTGCAGTGCATCTCCTCCTCATGGACTGCACCAGATGTGCCAGTTCTTGCTGTGAGATGTTATCCCACTCTTCCACCAAGGCACCTGCAAGTTCCCGGACATTTCTGGGGGGAATGGCCCTAGCCCTCACCCTCCGATCCAACAGGTCCCAGACGTGCTCAATGGGATTGAGATCTGGCCTCTTTGCTGGCCATGGCAGAACACTGACATTCCTGTCTTGCAGGAAATCATGCACAGAACGAGCAGTATGGCTGGTGGCATTGTCATGCTGGAGGGTCATATCAGGATGAGCCTGCAGGAAGGGTACCACATGAGGGAGGAGGATGTCTTCCCTGTAACGCACAGCGTTGAGATTGCCTGTAATGACAACAAGCTCAGTCCGATGATGCTGTGACACACCGCCCCAGACCATGACGGACCCTCCACCACCAAATTGATCCTGCTCCAGAGTACAGGCCTTGGTGTAACGCTCATTCCTTCGACGATAAACACGAATCCGACCATTACATTTACATCATTTAGCAGACGCTCTTATCCAGAGCCACTTACAAATTGGTGCATTCAACTTATGATAGCCAGTGGGACAACCACCTTTGTCTTTTCTATTTTTTTTATTTTTATGGGGGGGTGGGGGAGGGGGGGGTAGAAGGATTACTTTTATACTATTCCAGGTATTCCTTAAAGAGATAGGGTTTCAAGTGTCTCCGGAAGGTGGTCAGTGACTCCGTTGTCCTGGCGTTGTGGGGGAGCTTGTTCCACCATTGGGGTAGCAGAGCAGCGAATAGCTTTGACTGGGCTGAGCGGGAACTGTGCTTCCGTAGAGATAGGGGGGCTAGCAGGCCAGAGGTGGATGAACGTAGTGCCCTCGTTTGGGTGTAGGGTCTGATCAGAGCCTGAAGATAAGGAGGTGCCGTTCCCCTCACAGCTCCGTAGGCAAGCACCATGGTCTTGTAGTAGATGCGAGCCTCAACTGGAAGCCAGTGGAGTGTGCGGAGGAGCGGGGTGACATGAGAGAACTTGGGAAGGTTGAACACCAGACGGGCTGCAGCGTTCTGGATAAGTTGTAGGGGTTTAATGGCACAGGCAGGGAGCCCAGCCAACAGCGAGTTGCAGTAATCCAGACGGGAGATGACAAGTGCCTGGATTTGGACCTGTGCCGCTTTCTGTGTGAGGTAGGGTCGTACTCTGCGAATGTTGTAGAGCATGAACCTGCAGGATCGGGTCACCGCTTTGATGTTAGCGGAGAACGACAGGGTGTTGTCCAGGGTCACGCCAAGGTTCTTTGCACTTTGGGAGGAGGACACAATAGAGTTGTCAACCGTGATGGCGAGATCATGGAGTGGGCAGTCCTTCCCCGGGAGGAAGAGCAGCTCCATCTTGCCGAGGTTCAGCTTGAGGTGGTGATCCGACATCCACACTGATATGTCTGCCAGACATGCAGAGATGCGATTCGCCACCTGGTTATCAGAAGGGGGAAAGGAGAAAATTAATTGTGTCGCCTGCGTAGCAATGATAGGAGAGACCATATGAGGATATGACAGAGCCAAGTGACTTGGTGTATAGAGAGAATAGGAGAGGGCCTAGAACTGAGCCCTGGGGGACACCAGTGGTGAGAGCGCGTGGTGCGGAGACAGATTCTCGCCACGCCACCTGGTAGGAGCGACCTGTCAGATAGGACGCAATCCAAGAGTGAGCAGCGCCGGAGATGCCCAACTCGGAGAGGGTGGAGAGGAGGATCTGATGGTTCACAGTATCAAAGGCAGCGACTTGTCAGTGAAGAGCACTTTTTGCCAGTCCTGTATGGTCCAGCGACGGTGGGTTTGTGCCCATAGGCGACATTGTTGCCGGTGATATCTGGTGAGGACCTGCCTTACAACAGGCCTACAAGCCCTCAGTCCAGCGTCTCTCAGCCTATGTAGCTCAGTTGGTAGAGCATGGCGTTTGCAACGCCAGGGTTGTGGGTTCGATTCCCACGGGGGGCCAGTATGAAAAATAAAAAATAATGTATGCACTCACTAACTGTAAGTTGCTCTGGATAAGAGCGTCTGCTAAATGATTAAAATGTAAATGTAAAATAATAGTGAAGACATCAAAACTATGAAATAACACATACAGTGGGGGAAAAAAGTATTTAGTCAGCCACCAATTGT